TTCAGATGATTTAGTGCCGAGACGTGGGTCCTATGGGCTTCAGCGTTCAGAGCGCTAAGCACCTTCAGCGGTAAAAAGATGTCAGCGGAGACGTTTTTTTTAGCGCAGCGCTCAGAGTGCTTCAAGTTGAAATCTGTTCAACTTTTAACACCGCTGGGCGCTCGGAAAATGAGTTTTTGAGCTCTCTGAGCGCTGTAAACGCGTTTCGTGGACACAAGTCCAGCTCAGACAATTCTAATCACATTTTAAAGGATATCGACTGATTATCGTTATCACCAAAATCCCAAAAAATATTGAGATATTATTTTTTGCCCATATCGCCCAGCCCTAATTACAGGTGGCAGGAATATGAAAGTAAAGTGAAAGGTAATAAATAAATGAGAAAATAAATAAGAACCAAAAAAAATAAGTAGTAAATACTGTAGATGGGATGGGTTTTTCAAAAATATTTGCCCAAATAATAGTAAATATTATACGTATATACATGCATCCTAAGTATTAAGTGAAATTTAAATTATAAATAATGTTAGCGATTTTTCAGAAAATAAGATTTCTTGTAACTATGCTAGAGGCTATGCCACCGGAAGAAGAAATGTAAACATAGTCTCACCCCAGTTGCCTCCTGGGAAATTGAGTCCAGATCTCGGCCGGGAAATTTAGAAAATGCCAGACCAAACTCTTACAAACTACACAAGTTATGACTCTAACAAACTTTTAAGAGTGCAACTGTGAGACCCACTAACTCTTCCCGAGTTGGGCGACTTATGCTGAAACAAAGAAACTCATACATTACCGATTGTCAGCAAAATTAACGTTTTCACAAGCACTGCTTGCGTTAGCTCCGGCTGCCAACGCAAGCTAAGTTGTTATGCTAGCAGTAAAGCAATGAAGTTATCCCATAACAGCTACTCATCACGTCTTTCCTCCTCTTGAATGCGTCTGATAAAGTCCTCCACGTCGGATGGTTTATCAAAAGACCGTGTGTTGCCGCCGTGGGTCAGCAGCAATTTTGCAGGGAACCGTATTCCATTTCTTATTCCCATATATGCCTTGTTTTTCTTGTGTATCTCAGACACTAGGTCGGGGTAAAACCGAACCGCTCTGTCTTTGTAGAATATCAGTTTTTTGTTTTCGGACCGCATTCAGAACTCTCATCTTGTCTCTGTTGTTCATAAACTTCATAATCAGTGTTCTTGGGGGTGCGGACGGGTCGATCCTCGGTCCCACACGATGGGCTCTCTCCAAAATTAGTTTTTTATTGGAAGAAGTTAAACCCACGGCCCCCGGGATCCAAGCCTCGAGGAAAGAGCAGGCATCATTGCCCTCCGCACCCTCTGGGAGGTTGACCAGCCTTAGGTTAGATCTTCTAGATCTTGCTTCTAAGTCGACAATCTTGTCCTCCATGTCTTTGTTTTTATTTTCGAGGCTGCGGACCCTGGCCACTAGGCTGCTGACAGCATCCTCTGTTTCGGAGATGCGAGTCTCTGCACTCTTAACACGTTCCAAGCACTCACCAACTTCTTTTCTCACTCCTTCAATTGCTGTCAGGACTCCATCAAACCTGCTGCAAAAGTCAGTTTTTAAGTCACTGATAGCTTCAAGAATTGGCTGGGTAGTAGCTCCTTCAGCTATGGTTCCATTAGCATTCTTCTCCGCCATTGGGCTAGCATTAGCTGTAGTCGCACCACTCTGTTTAGCCGGAGTAAATTCTATTTTAGGCTGTGAAGATTTGCCACGACCTTTACCCCTGCCTTGTGAAGCTGCCATCAAGGTGTTTTTAGCAACTCTTCGGCTTACTCTTGGTGTCAAATAGTTTAGTTTATCGTAGAAAATTCGTCAAAGTTTTGCGGAGGGGCGAGACCACCGTCCACCTAGCGCGCCGCCATACCGGAAGTCCTATTTATCTCTATTTTTGCTTGTGGTTCTCAGCAAAGATAGACAGTGAAAATGATGTAATAGTAAATGGGGCGTTACACTGTCACCTTTGACTGCCATAGTGTAAAGTCACAACATGCAACAGGAATTTAGACTTTACTCAAAGCAGAAGTGCAGGGTTTGTATCTGTATGAGGCAAGTTTATATACAGTCCAGATTCAGAGTCAGCAGGAAAAGGTTGGCTTCAGTTCAGCCCACCAGATGCAGACATTTGACAAACTAAGATGAAATACAGTAGCACAAGTCTCTATCGAGTGTCTGTTTATCTAGCATAAGTGCAGCATTGGTACTGAAAGTAACACATATAGAGATGCATAATAATTATCAGAGCAGATAAATTATTGGCCGATAATGGGAAATGTATATTATTAGGGACCGAGCACTAACAAGTGCAAGGACCCTTTTGTTCTTCTAGGAATTATTATTATTTTTCTGCCAGCATGACTGCATATTTGGCCCCCGCAACATGCTCAAAAAGTCATGAAAATTTGCACAAAATTCAAACGTAGCAAAACTACCGATATGACATTGTCCCCGTGCACGGGCACCGCCAAACGTCTGAGCCACGCCCCCCAGAATCAGCCCCCAAGACACGTAAGCCTTGTATTTGAACGAACTCCTCCTAGGGAATATATCGGATCTGCTTCAGAATTGGTCAGTACAGTCAAAAAATGTTGCTGAATGAACGCTGTTCATTTTCTGACTGTACGTTGAAGGGCGTGTCCGTGGCGTGCCATCAAAGTTGGCCATTTTGAAGTCTGTGGTCTTGTATTTGAACAAACAAACTCCTAGGGAATTTATCAGATCTGCTTCAAAACGTGACAGTTCTCTTGAATAATGTTGCTGATTACAAGTTGTGCGATTTGTGACTGTACGTTGAAGGGCGTGTCTGTGGCGTGCCGTCAAAGTTGGCCATTTTGAACGAATGTCACACTGTGATGTCATTTTTGGCATTTCAGGGCTTCTATTTTAAGTAGTATCACTTTACGAAGTATCACGTTTTATACTTTCATGTTCTACTCCTAGCAGGATGATCAGACCCAGCTGAAATGTACTTATAAAATGCAAAACACATTTTTGATTATATGTGATGACTGCGGTGAGGTCTGTAGCGTGGTGGGAAATTTTGACGTACCGCCACAAAACACGAATTTGCTATAACTTGAGTGTACATTGTCCAATGGGCTCCAAACTTCACATGTCTGATAAGAGTCCCGCCCTGAACACGTCTATGTGATAATATTCAGTAAAAGTGAGAGCGCCACCTAGTGGTGAAAGGAAATGTCATTTTTTTATACTTCCATGTTCTACTCCTAGTAGGATGATCAGATCAAGCTGAAATCTAGTCAGAAAATGGAAAACATGTTCTTGATGATATTTCTTGATTGTGGTGAGTTTTTGTTACAGGGCGTGTCCGTGGCGTGGCGTCAAACTTTGATGTACCGCCAGAACACACAAAGTTGCTATAACTTGAGTGTACATTGTCCAATCGGCTCCAAACTTCACATGTCTGATAAGAGTCCCGCCCTGAACACATAGTGATAGCGCCACCTAGTGGCAACAGGAAGTAAGTGCTGCGTTGTCCTGATTTACGTGAGATTTTCATGTCGTGGTCCGCACGTCTTACGACGGCACGTGACGCGACCGCAGCACGCTACGAGTTGCGTGGAGTGCGAGGTCCCGTCCATCGCTGCTTGCATCTTTAATTTTGGATTGTTATGCAAAACAATTGATAGGCTTTATGGTCTCAGAAAGTATGCTTGTGATGTTTAAAAAATAAAAAAAAAACAGACAAACAAATTAAAAACAATAGCGATGCCGGTTAGATATGATTAGAAGAAAGTTATGCACAGGTTATGAACTTATTTTTAAAATACGAAAATATGAAATTATCGATGATCTAATTGGCCACGAGTAGTGGGTAATTATCAGTTATAGTATTGGCTAGAATAAATCTATATCATGCATCCCAAAATACATATCTTTGTCATTATTACATGGAAGGAATAACCCAGGAATCTACTGCCTTTCCATCAGCTACACATTTGGCTTACCTTTGAAACATTGGAGAAAATATTTGGCCGAAAACTAACCATATATCCCGAACTGATTCACAGGATCTGGATTGTGGCTGATCCAGTTTTTAATACGCCAGGTCTAAAATCTGATTCATTCCTGATCCCTTGTTTGTTTGCTCCGGGTACAGCAGCTGAGTTAGTTAGAGGTGTGTGTCTGTTTAATTGTTCTGTGTGATAAAAAACAAAGAATATGTGTTGTTCATGTAGTGCTTCATGTGTAATCTGATGTATCTGTTTTATATTTACCACAAATCTGTTGTTGAATGGTCCTGTAGCTATATGCTACATTTGAATATTTGTTGTTAAAGTATTCATATGTCTGTCTCTCTTATACATATTCCTCCTACTGTTTAAAATAATTGATATAAATTTGAATTTGTTGTCTGGGTAAATTGTTTATTTAAAGCTGCAGTAGGTAGCTGACTCCTCCTAGTGCTCCTGTGTATTTGTAAGAATCTACCGGGCCTGAATGAGAACAACCAACTGTAACCAAATTTAAAAAGGAACAATGATGAGTTGACGAACAGCAATATATACCACTGTTACCTCGACAGTAAATGGTAAATGTACTTGTGTAGCGCCTTTCTAGTCTTCTGACCACTCAAAGCGCTTTTACACTACGTGCAACATTCACTCAGTGATGGCAAAGTCCATTGAACAGAAAGTAACTCATTCATACACATTCACACACAGGAGCAATTTGGGGTTCAGTATCTTGCTCAAGGATACTTCGACATGTGCCATCAGGAGCCGGGGATCGAACCCACAACCTTCCGATTAAGGAACGACCCACTCTGCCTCTGAGCCACAGCCGCCCCAAGTTAACTTTGATAACAAGTGAAAAGAAGTTGCTTTGAAATTGTTTGTTATATTAGGTTCAGGTGCCATATTATTGTTATATGGCACCTGAACGATTACTATGTCACATGATGATAGTGTATTGCTTTAGTCCTCCATATGAATGAGTCAGTGATGCTTGTGTTGCAGCCGGAACCAGCTGGGCTCTCTGCCGGCCTGTCTGTGCGGTTTACCTCTGAGAGTCCTCAACGCCAGTAACAACAAGCTGGTCAGCCTGCCAGAGACCATCGGACAGCTGCACAGCCTCATGGAGCTGGTAGGACTGTTATTACTGAGTCTTTCACTGTGGCACCGTGTTACTGTCTTACTGCAGGTGGTGTGTGTGTGTGACAGAGTTGTGTGTCAGTCACACGCAGGGATTAGAAATAACATTACTACTACATTACTATTTGTGTGTGTCAGATAGTATTACATAGGTTTTAATACTTGCAGTGGTGGAAGAAGTATTACTTAAGTGAATTTAGCAATATCGCACAGTAAAAATACTCCGTTACAAGTAATGCATTCAGCCCTGCATTTTACTTAAAGGATCAGCTTGTAGGAATTAGTGGCATATAGCAGGGATGTTGCAGACTGCAACCCACTGAATACTACTCGTTTTTCAAGCCTTTACAGAGAGTGACCATAAAACACGTAAAAGGCCCTATCTAGAGCCAGTGTTTGGTTTGTCCCTTCTGGGTTACTGTAGAAACGTGACAGTCTTGGTGGATTCCGCCAGAAGAGCGCCCACTCCCTCCGTAGATAAAAAGAACTCATTCTAAGGAAATAAAAATGCATTTATTCTTGGTTTCAGGTGATTATACACTAATGAAAACATACCTGTAAATATTATATTTTATTTCTGCCAGTTGATCCTCTTCAATGTTATACACCGGACCTTGTACAGTACAGTACTAGAGTAAAGTTAGTTAGTTAGTTAGTTACTTTTCAACCACTGCTTACTTGTATACAGTAGCTTACTTGAGTTTACAGGTAGCAGGCTCCTGTGTTGCTGAATACAGATCATTAAAATCTGCTTCCAAATTAAATGTACAAACAGATTTTCTTGCCATATGTTGTGATGCTTAGCACTAGGGATGTGCAGGATAAGTCGACTAGTAGGTTAAACGTTGCTAATCTCACTAAACATTTGGTTACTGCAGTTCTGTAGGATGCTGAAACTGAAGCACAGAGAAACTATCAATCACATTATAAAGCAGCCATCAGCCTTGCTGCATATGCTAACTGACAGGCCCTGTCTGAGGCCAAAAACTCAAAAGGCATCACGTATCAAGCTCGTCCATATGTTGTCCATTTCCAGTCCAGTATCCCAAAGCATTTTCTGACATTTAAATGCCGATAATGTAATTGACTGCCCGTGTCGAATGTGTAAACTGTTTAAATGTACTACACCATGATATATACTCATATCCGAATATAAAATTACATACACTTAGGGTTGCAAAATTCTGGGAATTTTTAAAGTTGGAAACTTTCCGTGGGAATATATGGAAATTAAAGGGAATAAACTGGATATTTTTAATATTGCATGTTATAATACCGTTAGGCTATAACAGGGAACTTACATGTAGTTGAAAAGAAACATCTTGCAGGATAATCTTGCCTAAAACAACCTGATTTAATGCAACTTCAGTTGAATGTCCTCGCTATATTCGTCAATGACACGCAGTAATCAGCATAGGCTACTACATACTTGCCAACATTTATTTTTTAAAATATGAGAAATACTGAAAAACATTTTTTCTTTTTTTAGGGGGGGGGGTTAATACATAACCCATTGCTATTAACCTATTTGGGTTAATTGTATTGTACGCATATAACAAAGGGAGCATGCTAGCTACCATCATATGTTAAGCTAAAGGTCAGTGGTTTGGGCTACTACTTATGGTGCTATCTATTTGTCTCGTAAATCCCCCGCTCGAGTTGCTCTGATGCGGAACGTGACGTAATTGCCTGGCTTGTACCACTTACAGTGTTCCAGTTTGTCTTTGGGCATTACGAGTCGGAGAGAACATGGTGCACCAGTGCAGCAGCTGTCTTGTTATTGCTGGACGTTTCCCTAGAACACGAGAGCAAGCTTGTGGCTCATCTAAACAAGCAAAATGTGAAATAATGTTTTTCTACAGAAACACTAACATTTCAAGTAATTCCGTTAATGCAAGTCTTACATTTCAATAATATTTTGCCATTTTCGCCTATTTCAATTTCAACAAGTGCTGTGGCGTTTTTCTCGAGCCACCAGGGGCAGTGGCAGGCTAGTGTTATTGTTAGCTACATTAGCCTATTTAGAAAACCAGCTTGAAAACAAAACTTTACATTGTATTGCACGCACAACAACACTGTGCAATGCATAAATTGGTGACCGGACTAAAGTAGCAATGTAAATAAGTGTGTAAGAGCATTTAAAATCGACATTAAAACGACCAACGTAGTACAAATACAAAGAAAATACATTTCAATATTGTATGAATTACTCAACTTTTCCAGTTAATTCTCCTAATTTCCCATTAATTCCCATAATTTCCCATTAATTCCCATGAAGTTTCCAAATTGGAATGTTTCCAAAATTCCCCAGCTTATCTTTCCATGGAAAGTTTCCAGACAGTTTCCGGAAATTTACCGGAAGATTTTCGCCCCTTTGTTTTAGCCATATCACACCACTAGCATCAGATGAAATGAATTAAATCTATGAATGTTTGAAAGCTACCAGCATATTGTCTTCTGCAAACATTCAAGTAATTCAATACTTGAACTCAGTGCTGTGTTGTCAGGGAGGGAAACTGCTGACTGCTGTTATTTAACACTGTTCTCTGTGTAGCCAGAGGTATTCAAGGAAGTGCTGGATTTAATTAGGCTCTCTTAAACTTCAATGTAATTTTTACTTGAATCATATTTTAATTTATAATGATATGCATCCAGACTCTTTGACAGCTGTGAACTTGTGTTGTTCTTTTGCCCTCTGCAGGACATCAGCTGCAATGAGATCACGGCTCTTCCTCGCCATATCGGCAGACTCAAAGCTTTGCGAGAATTAAATGTACGCCGAAACCTTCTCTGTGTCCTGCCAGAAGGTGAGTTTCTGTGTGTTAAATTTAGCCCAGATGAGACTTTTTGCCATTTCATGTCTGAAACAACATGTATTTTCCTGTCTGCCTGGGCAAATGTGGACAGCACAGACATGTTTTATTACGGCCTAAAGGTTGGTGCGATTTGGTTGGAAAACCTTTTTTCTACTTTGTGTGTGCAATTCAGATGAAGTTACCATTTACATGTTCTTTAGGTGGATTTATATCAAACAAGCCCTTATTATTTCAGTTTTTAGTTAATCCCACTTTACCTTTGTATCTTTCAGAAAAGGGTTGTGTACTTCTAGAAGGCCATTTTATTCATTCATTTCATGCTATGATTTTATTGTCCGTTATTGGAAAGTCAAGTGTGGCTAGCATCTGATTTGAAATTAAACACAGAAATAGAACAATCCTTTCTGTATAGGCGATGGGGAGGTGCATTTGAGGCAACAGAGTCATCTGTATGCACTGCCACAGCCACACCCATCCGAGTCCCCAAAATATCCTTAACCCTCAGTATGACCGAAGAACAACCTCCAATCCCCAAAGGTCTGAAATAAGTCAGTAAGATCAGTGACAGCCACAACGCTCTGGAACTCATCTGGAGAGACACCACCCAGTCTGACTGACCGACTGCTGGTTGGCTCAAGCTAGAGACAGACAGGCTTGTGACGGAAGAATTGCCAGTTAAAGTCACCAGACCAGCTGGAAAAAGTAGGCATTGAAAATTGTATGAAATATTCTCTCTGGTGTTAGTATGTGATACCAAGGCCTGTTGAGGATCGAACATAATGAGAATTATAAGAATATAGCAATTATATAAACTGGACACCCCAGGGCTTCTAATTTGAAATAGATACAGGAAGTTAGTTTGTGTTAACAGCGTAACGCAGTTACATTAGCACGGCAAACGGGAGCGGATGAAAACAAGGCTTCATACTTCTGCTATGTTTCCGCCTGTGCTGAAAGACAATAGCAGGTTAGCTACCTCGCTAACACAGCAAACAGATGTGATAAGCATGAGTGATGTCAGGGTTTTCAGGGACAGGCTTGTATCAGTTATTTTGAGAGATGATGCGGTTATTGTCTATAAACTCTCCTGCAATGTATTTCACAAACTAGCTTTTTCTAACATATGTGCTTACAGTATGGGCTCTACTTTCTGGTGTGACCAGCCAAAAAGACAAATAACATCTTTAATCTGAGAACCTACAATGTAAAGTTGAGAGTTTTTTTTTTTTTTCCTCTCTCAATGGGCTGAACCGTGGTGATAAACAGCAAGTATTTTCCAGAACCTCACTGCACCCTGATTATCTTTACCCGTTTCGACGTTTCACGTCTTTCTAGAGTTGTTTTTCTGAGAATGATTAATCACACTGCTGCGGCCTGAACCTCCTGATCTACACTGAGTAGAACAATTTCTAACTGAATGTTTGTTCTTTAACAATTAGATAAGCAGTCTTGGGTCACTCATATGCTGATTTGACCTCGTACTTCTTCTTTCCTGCTGACATTTGTGGCTTACAATACTCCAATGTCTGAAAGAATCCATTTTAAAGCAGATATGAAGCCTAAACACTGCACAGAAATTAAGCTGTCCTTGATGCCTGTAAAGAGGCAGGAGCATTAAAAGTGTTTCTTTTTTGTCACTCTTCCAACATGGTGGTGGGTCTATGATAAACATGGAGTCAGGTCTGTTGCTATTTGATCTGAATGATGAATGACTGCAGACACTTTTCCGAATTATTCATCCAGCTTTGTCCCTGCATCTCAACTCGCGCAGTCTGTTTGGATTTATGCTGTATTTTCCTAACTCTGCATATGCTTGTCCCTCATTATTACAACCGTCTCCTGGATTGATTGATGAGCTTTGATCCTGCTCAGCAGCTTGATGCCACAGTGACAGGGAGGCTTGCACTGAGCAGACTGGACGGCAGCCTGACAAAGGGAGGGGTGTTGTTTTTGATTTAATCTGTCGAACTTGTGCAGACTTCATTGCCGCTTTGGAGAGCCCCTGAGATAAGACCACCGTGGCTGTTTTAGTGTTTTTTAAAGGTCGGCCAATCTTGGGGTGGCCGGAGTATAATGTTAGAGAGTTAAACTCAAATCTGAAGATCATGTCTGCAGACCTGATGGAAAAATACTCCTCAAAGCCAGAATCCTCACCATGGCAGCAAGATGCTTCAGTCACAACAATGGCAGCACAAAACTTACATTAATAACACAGAGCCGGTCACTCTTTATTACTAATTACTCTCCCTAAATGCAGCTTAATTAAGTTTTTATTTTTACAACCTTCAAATGAGGCTGCAAGAATCTTGTAATAGTTGAAAACATGCCCAGCTTCATTCCTCAGTCGTTTGATAAGCAGCTAATTATTGTTGTCCATTGTATACCTTCAGCATTCAGCTAACAGGACAAATACAGATGATCACAATATTTCAACTTCACTGACCCTGATATTATGTTTACAGCGTGACATTTACTGTGCAGGAAATGTTTGAAGGATAAAACATGGAGGAGACTCTAAATCTGCTTCAAATTAGATCTGGTATTTGTGTCACAACAGCCAGCTTAGATAAACAGAGATGTTTCTAAAAAGCCAGTGGTTATACTGTTCAGAAAACATAAGCAGTCCAGATGGTATGGTTATGTAGTAGTTTTTGAAATTAAAACTTTACTTAACCACATGAAGGCCAAGAGGTACATCCATAATTTATTTGTTGGTGCTGGGTAGCCATTATCTGCCCTGAAAGACAAAACTATACCTGCACACCGCTGACTCAGGTTGTTTGTTCTTAACGGATGTGACATGTCCAACTAACAATGAGTTGTCAAAGTTCTCTCAATGACACAATGTTTCTAGGGCTGCCCCTGACTAAAGGTGTTTCTAGTCAACTAGTAGTTGTTGAATAAAGCCAATAGTCGACTAGTTGTTGCACGTTTGTGATATTAATTTAATTATTTAAATAAATACATATATATAGAAAAAGCTGTGGAAGACTGAATATTAAGTTTATTTCAACACAGTGTAACGTCACACAAGTCACTTTGTTTAACTTCCAACTTTACTAAAACAAATACCGGCAGACTTATCAATATGATGGATGGCTTTATAACGTTAAAAGTTAGTTACAAATTAACTTGCTAAAAACTCACACTTTTCACGCCTCTCCTGTCGCAGCCTGTCTTCATCCCCAGAGAAAGGCTCTAGGGATGACGCCGTTGGTAGGTTTGCTCAGGTATGCTCTGTTAAGGCTTTGATGTTAGGCTGACTTGTCCTCGAGTGACACTAGCAAAATCAAATGTTCTGGTCCAGAATGAAATATCTAAACAATTACTGGATGGGTTGCCATGAAATTTGGTCCAGACATTCATGTTCCCCATCAGGATGAATTGTCATTTTGGTGATCCTCTGACTTTTCTTCTAGTGCCATCATCAGGTCAATATTTGAATTTGTCCAGTACTTCAGTTTCCAACCAAATAGAGTGCCAAAAATTCATTTTGTGTCGTTTTGACAGATCACTTTAAAATAAATGTAAACATTTTGCCTCAGTGGCCTTATAGCAGGAATGATCATGTTTTTGTACATAGTACAATATATTTTTATCCAGTTACCAGAGGAATGCTTTCTGGTGTTGGCCTTCTCTCCCTCCATCATGGCTGCTCAGCTGACATTATTACCGCCTACAAGGAGTTTTAATTATGAGACACTGTCAGTAAGAGTCTGTAATGATCACTTTGTCACAATTGATGGGCTCTTTTGTGACACATCGATGGCAGTCTGCTGGCTATGACTCCCTAAATGGTTTCTTCCCTCAAACCCACACATCAGTTTGTACTGTTTGTCTGCACGTATGTCTAAGGAGCTGAATGTTATAGGGATCAAGTAAACACACACACACACATCTACTCTAGCAAAGTAGATAATTGTTTCAGAGCGCCTGAAACAATCAGGAAGGAAAACATCAAAGGAGGCACACAGACACACAGAAAAGCAGCAACAACTAATAAACTAATCATGTTTGCACTATTTTTGGGTATCAGACTCCGCTTCTGCTGTAGCTGTAGTCAGCTTTGATTCAACACAATACCATTCTTAAGCCCGGCCCCTTTTTGCTCTGTGCTCCAGTAACAGTTGAACAAGCCTCAGTGTCCTTTCCTGTACGTAGTTATGCTATGTGCTAGGCTAATCTATGTTGAAAAGACAACCACATACTGAAGATGGTGAACGAATATACATATATATATGTCGCTTTATTTATATATATGTGTGTGTGTGTGTGTGTGTGTGTGTGTGTGTGTGTGTGTGTGTGTGTGTGTGTGTGTGTGTGTGTGTGTGTGTGTGTGTGTATATGTAGGTAAAAATAAACCTGCACACCGCTGACTCAGGTTGTTTATTCTTAATGGATGTGACATGTCCAACTAACAATGAGTTGTCAAAGTTCTCTCAATGACACAATGTTTCTAGGGCTGCCCCTGACTAAAGGTGTTTCTAGTCAACTAGTAGTTGTTGAATAAAGCCAATAGTCGACTAGTTGTTGCACGTTTGTAATATTAATTTAATTATTTAAATATATATAGAGAAAGCTGTGGTAGACTGAATATTTGGTTTATTTCAACACAGTGTAACAACACACAAGTCATTTTGTTTAACTTCCAACTTTACTAAAACAAATACTGGTGGACTTATCAATATGATGGATGACATTATAACTAACAATTACACAGACAGACACACAAAAAAAACTCTTAGGGCCCCCTGGTAGTCACATGGCTCCATAATATAACTGGTAAAAATACAAGAATTTCATGTAAAATATCACTACTTTTCTTCAAAATGAAATGCTGACATTACTGAATGCATGGTTTTATACTATAATGGCAGTGAGATTAAAAAATTTGGTTTTAATGGATATCAATGAGGCATTTTTAGCCACAAAGGTATCCAGAGGGAGTATCTGGCACCACATAAAAAATACTAATGCAATCAAATCAATTTTGTAGCTAATCTTTGAAATATCCAAGACTCTTATCACAACAAAAGCCCCATCCCCTTACTATGTTTTTTTGGTAATAAATAATTCATAATTCAAATAAATAAACTGGCAATTCAATGGTTAAAATCCTGAAAATGATTTAGTGAGATTTATGAAAAAAAAAAGCTGAAAAAACATATTGATGTATGATGATTTAATAGCTACGGAGCCCCTAAAATCCCCAAAAGGATTTTATTTTATTTTTTTATCTTGTGCGCACATGTAAATTTTATATATATATAATATAATATATATTATATATCAGCTGCGTGCATCTGAAGCCGTTAAAGATGCATATGAATTTATAGTAAATTATCTATACATGCACACAAGATAAATAAATTGTTGGCATGTATACAAGATAAAAAAGATTTCCTTTTGGGGACTTTAGGGGCTCAGTGTTGGATGTGTTAATTTTTGCCACGAAGGTGTCTAGAGGGTGAAAAATGCTTCAAAAGAGTATAAAAGAAAAATTTTGCTAAAAAGAAAAGTTCTTGCAAAAAATCATGGCACAAGCTGTAACACAGCGAAAATGATCACCAAATCAAAAAAAAAAAAAAAGTTGAGAAAAATTTACTAAAAAGCCAGAGGAGGGTATAAGGGTTAAGTTCTGGCTATATATTCATATACAGTGGGTACGGAAAGTATTCAGACCCCTTTAAATCTTTCACTTTGTTTCATTGCAGCCATTTGCTAAAATCAAAAAAGTTGATTAATTTTATTTCTCATTAATGTACACTCAGCACCCCATCTTGACAGAAAAAAACAAATGTAGAAATTTTTGCAAATTTATTAAAAAAGAAAAACTGAAATATCACATGGTCATAAGTATTCAGACCCTTTGCTCAGTATTGAGTAGAAGCACCCTTTTGAGCTACTACAGCCACGAGTCTTCTTGGGAATGATGCAACAAGTTTTTCACACCTGGATTTGGGGATCCTCTGCCATTCTTCCTTGCAGATCCTCTCCAGTTCTGTCAGGTTGGATGGTGAACGTTGGTGGACAGCCATTTTCAGATCTCTCCAGAGATGCTCAATTGGGTTTAGATCAGGCCTCTGGCTGGGCCAGTCAAGAATGGTCACAGAGTTGTTCCGAAGCCACTCCTTTGTTATTTTAGCTGTGTGCTTAGGGTCATTGTCTTGTTGGAAGGTGAACCTTCGGCCCAGTCTGAGGTCCTGAGCACTCTGGAAGAGGTTTTCTTCCAGGATATCTCTGTACTTGGCCGCATTCATCTTTCCTTCAATTGCAACCAGTCGTCCTGTCCCTGCAGCTGAAAAACATCCCCATAGCCTGATGCTGCCACCACCATGTTTCACTGTTGGGATTGTATTGGGCAGGTGATGAGCAGTGCCTGGTTTTCTCCACACATAACGCTTAGAATTAACGCCAAAAAGTTCAATCTTGGTCTCATCAGACCAGAGAATCTTATTTCTCATAGTCTGGGAGTCCTTCATGTGTTTTTGGCAAACTCTATGCGGGCTTTCATATGTCTTGCACTGAGGAGAGGCTTCCGTCGGGCCACTCTGCCATAAAGCCCCGACTGGTGCAGGGCTGCAGTGATAGTTGACTTTGTGGAACTTTCTCCCATCTCCCTACTGCATCTCTGGAGCTCAGCCACAGTGATCTTTGGGTTCTTCTTTACCTCTCTCACCAAGGCTCTTCTCCCATCTGAATACTTATGACCATGTGATATTTCAGTTTTTCTTTTTTAATAAATTTGCAAAAAATTCTACATTTCTGTTTTTTTCTGTCAAGATGGGGTGCTGAGTGTACATTAATGAGAAATAAAATGAACTTTTTTGATTTTAGCAAATGGCTGCAATGAAACAAATAGTGAAAATTTTAAAGGGGTCTGAATACTCTCCGTACCCACTGTATATGTGTACCATCATCATCACGCACTCAGTCAGTCTTGTTGAATCTTGTCTCACAATCATCACATTTGTTTTCTTCAGTATCAACACAGTCCAATGAGTAGTGTTTGTTTCCAGGGTTACAGAGCAGATAATAGCTAATGTGGCATGACTTGTCATGGTGCAAACTTCCCAAAAGGTGTTCAGTATAGGCTAAAATAAACAACCCACAGCTACTAACTGAATCCATGACATTTATATTCTACTTCTTGTCAGCATCCATCAAAGCATTATGTGAGTTGTAGTATCAAAATAATAATAAAATTTTAAATAGATAAAAAATGAATAACATAGGTGACCAAATACATTAGTATAATCTTTTTTTATGTTCTTTGGATGCATTTTTTGATCTTACAAAGGCTCAGAATGTCCCATCGACATGTTTCCCGGAACACAATCCACTAGTCATTCTGATATTTGCTATTTTTGGTATCTGTTTTGAAAAGACTTAGAGGAAAATACAAAAACAATTTGAAATGGCATGTTACATGTGATTACTCTGCTAAAAGCCTGTAAATAAAGGGAGTAAAAACCAAGCAGAGAGTGTTGAAATGGTTAATCAAACTGTGGTAAGGTGTTAAAATGTGTCAGTATTAAGTGTGTGTACTTAAGCGCTGAATCAGCTATACTTCAGAAAATCATATGTACTATATCATCAGTACTAATCAAGACAGTGATACATTTTTCACTAAAATGCTGCTGGCTGGGTGTCAGCAACCGTTCATCGGTGTTATCCATCTGAATTTGATCTTGTTCAGTGGGCACGTCCTTTTAAATAAAGCTGCTGAGAGCTTCAATTATAACTTTGAACCAGGAGAAGTCAGGGGTCAGTGCGCTGTAATTTTAGCTACCAACGTTTCTGTAGTAACTATGCCTGTCAGGAACTTTACTGTAATTTATTGTACTGCTGCACATTTTGCAGATTTTACACAGACACACAAACTGACTCGCACACACGGAGACAGTTATTTTATGATCTTTATGTGTAAAGATCACTTTTTGACAGCTATATCGAAATTTTAGATTTATTTTTAAATCAGATTTGAAGTTGTGCGTTGATTGAGCTGTATCTCCGGCTATTACTGTCTGATGTATGCTGGGGGGAGAGTTTGTACTTTTGGATGGAGCCAGGCTAGCAGTTTCCACCCGTTTCCAGTCTTCAGCTAAGTGGAGTAGCTGCCTGCTCCAGCCTAATTTTTAACGGACAATGAACCTTCTCAGTTGGGAATAAGTTTATTTCTCAAAATGTTTAACTGTTTGTTTGAAATGCGATCCCTTCTTCCTTTTGGGACTTTTTGTTTTTCCTGCTGTGCAGCCTGAGGCCACTGCTGAAGATGCACTTTGTGAGGAAGGAACAGTTTTCCAGGAAGTTCAAGTGTCCGTGTCATGGAATCTTTCAGATGTCTCTCTAGAATCACATGGTTAATGCCACTTGTGCTTGTGGTTAAGACATGTCAAACAAAAAGTTATATTGTCAGCTGATAGCATCCATTTTCAGTGTGGCTCATTTAGTGAAACCTCCTACTAACTTTTTCAACTTATCTGGTAGCTAGTGAGCAGCTGTGGCGCAGAGGCAGAGCGGGTCATCCCCTAATCGGAAGGTTGTTGGTTCGATCCCCAGCTACTGGTGCCACATGTCAAAGTCTCCTTGAGCAAGATACTGAACCCCGATGTGATGTATGAATGAGTTAGTTTCTGTTTGATGGACTTTGCCAAACTGAATGTGTGTGAAAGGGTGAATGTGTGTGTAAAAGCGCCTCGAGTGGTCGGAAAACTAGAAAGGCAGTATATACAGTATAGTACATTTACCAGACTTAAATCCCCTACAAAGTTTCAAGTTTCAATTAATGTTGATTGTGGCCACCCCTGTGGATTATTATTTACTATTGTGTAGCCTTCAGTACTTGGTCATCAATATACATGCAGACTGCATTAATCTTGAACATTAAAAATTCTGTTTTCTTGTTGAATTAGAATTAGAGCTCAGGGGCCACAGTTGAGCACAATTAAGGGAGGCATTTATTTCCAGGTGTTTTAGTTCTAATGAGGAATGAAGTTCACATGAAGAGAAACGGTGAGACTCTTTGTCTGCTAACAATTACAAACCTCTGAAAAAACCAAAAGCAGCATTGTTTTGTGTGATGGGAAATATGTCGGCTGTGTGTGTGTGTGTGTGTGTGTGTGTGTGTGTGTGTGTGTGTGTGTGTGTGTGTGTGTGTGTGTGTGTGTGTGTGTGTGTGTGTGTGTGTGTGGATTTAAAATCCCTTTTAAAACATTGGAGCCATAAAGCTACATATGTAGTAAGAGTTTAAGATTCTTGTAATTAATTGCTCCAACATGCGAGCAAGAGCCTCAACATGTGCTGTGAATGTCATGCTGTGGTTGTGGATACGTAATGTCAGTGTCTAGTCTTCAAATATTATACAACCTATACTTTTTCAAATGTAATTGCCCAAGAAAACATTTTTACATTTGGGCCAGTTAAGCCTCACAAGGAGGGATAACCAAATGTGTTTAACTAACAGATTTGTGTGTGTGTTTGTGCGTGTGTGTTCTTCCTGCAGACCTGGCTGAACTTCCTCTGGTGAAGTTTGACTTCTCCTGTAACAAGGTGTCGACCATCCCAGTGTGTTACAGGAACATGAAACAGCTTCAGTCCCTCCAATTAGAAAACAACCCACTGCAGAGTCCACCTGCACAGGTAGCACACACACACACACACACACACACACACACACACACACACACACACACACTGACCTTATGTGACCTGCCCCTTTGCTTGTTTGCTCCATTTCCTGTTTTGTCTTATATAACGTCTGGTTGTTATTATAGTAAACACAAGTAAAATGTCTTCCTATGCTCTGGTGCTAAGTTATCAGTAGAATTTTGTTGTTTGTATGTATGCATGTATGTATGTATGCAAGTATGTATATACAGTATGTTTAATTGACAATATGGAGCAATTAGCTTACAATGATAAGCCCATGCCATAGATAACTGTGTAACAGTTGTTTGGATAAGGAAATATTGTACTGACACACATTTTGAATAGCCATTCAGATAGCTTATGTTATGGTAAATGGTAAATGGACTGTACTTGTATAGCGCCTTTCTAGTCTTCTGACCACTCAAAGCGCTTTTACACTACGTGCCACTGTCACCCTTTCACACACATGCACACAGTGATGGCAAAGTCCATCGAACAGAAACTAACTCATTCATACACATTCACAATTTGGGGTTCAGTATCTTGCTCAAGGATACTTCGACACGTGGCAGGAGGAGCCGGGGATCGAACCAACAACCTTCCGATTAGGGGACAACCCGCTCTGTCTCTGAGCCACAGCCGATGTGATGATATGATATGTTATCTTATGATATGATACTATATCCTGACAGTAGTACATGATAATCAAAAGTTTTACCCATAATATATATAATAGTATCATAGTGGGCAGTTTGCTATACCTGATAAGATTTCAATTATACACTGCATAATATTTTTATAGAGAGCTGATATCAAACTGTGTGTACCATCGTCTCAGAGACTGAAGGACCAAAGACACTCTGGGAATGTTAAGCACCAGCTGCAATAACTAAGAGTTGAGTGACTCAGCAGTCAGGTTGGTGTCTGTGTGACCGCAGGTCAAGATGATAGAAGAAGAGAAACTTCATTTGAATCTTTATTTTCCCTTTCAGATCTGTATAAAGGGTAAAGTTCACATATTCAAGTATCTGAGCATCGAGGCGTGTCGCAGTGAGAAGATGCCCGACTCTCTCTACCTGCCCGTCATGGAGAGACTCAGCCTATCGCGACCCACCACCGGCAGGTCAGTTACTGTAGCAATTCAAATATCACTCTACACTAGTGCTGTAGTGTCGTCTGTTTTTATACAGGTATCACAGCAGTTGTTTTACCACAACCTTAATGGGAACACTGTAGAATTCAATTCTGGCACATAGAAGACCAATTGCTTCATGATTCATTGAGCCTTCTGGCAAATGAAACATGAGCACCATTTCAATTTCCCAGTCAGCACAGGCAGAGAACAAACACACACTAAATTGATTTCAGTTATTTTTATACGGTGTTGATGAGCAAATCTTTCCAAACAATTCATAGACAATTGACCCACCACTTTTTGCTCTGTGCTCCAATTACTGTTAAGCGAGCCTTGGTCAGAACCTTGATCAAGATCCTCCTTTCCTGTAATTGCTATTTTTGCTGTATGCTAGGCTAATCTATGTTGAAAAGACAACTACATTTTGAAGATAAGCTAACCAGCTGCTGTTTATAAGGAGTTCGGTCTGCTCTATTTGAAAAGTGTCCTGAGATAACTTCTGTTATGAATTGGCGCTCCGTGTTCAACAGGCAGTCTTCTAATCTAACTCTGGGCAAGAAAGAGAAGAAACATATTTCCAAAAATGTCAAACAATTCCCATGGTGCATTTCAGAAACCAAAATAGATGATGCAGGAATACCTTACTTTTCCGCTTCAGAATGACCACGCCCCAAAACGCTTTACGGTCAAAGGGTTAGGTAATCAAAGCTGATGCGTTGCATAATAAGCTCACCTGCCTTCTAATAATGAAAACTTCTTGTAAACAACATAAAATAACGTAGGAGGTGGAGATTAAAACCAACCTGTTTTATTCTTCTCTCAGCTCATAGTAAAACAGCGCTTAATAAAAAAGTGATATAATCAGTTTGCAGTATCAACCGAAACAGTGACAGATGTCCGAAATATGAGATTCAATAAGGTAGTCGTATATGTCAGGTCCGTCCACTCTGATGGAGGTAGACTGAAAGGAGTAGGACACACAGACTGACATAACATAATTGTCTGACTGGCCATAGGATTCTGGCACCTAATAGCTAAAAAGCAATAGAGTATTCTATTTTATGCTATTAAATTGACAACAACTTCAGAATTTCCCATCAGTCAAATTAGAGGGACTGCTTTCTTCTAAAAGAGAGTGGGGCATGATGCAAGGTCAAAGTACCTTGATGGGCTGCTCTAATCTATCCAAGAAAATAAAGAAATATCTGAATCATGGAGTGTTATATTTATTCCAGAAAATGTGGTGTGATGATCACTGCCTTTTAGCTGTGACCAGTTCACTTCAGCAATGTAACAGGAGATGGTGTCCAAAGCCAACGTAATAAACCTGCCAGCCTTGCCTAACAAGCACACCAGCCACAGATGCTGACACAGTGTAAAATCAAAGCCACCATCAGTAGCAGTGGTGACATTATCATAGTAAAATATTCTGCAATTTACCAGCATGTTATTTGCTTATAAATGCTCCTTATAAAGTTCCTTGTAGCTGGCCACCAGAAGCATGTTACATCACATCAAAGCCGTTTATTTGGTTTAAATGACATTATACTGTGTGGTGGGATGGTGTCTGTCTGTGTTTCTCAGACTGCAGCCAAATCCTCCATTAGTCAGCTGAAACTGATCCGTCCTCTGGCTCCCTGCTGGGTCACACTGACAGTCTGTCTGCCATCAGTGTTCACTGCAGAGCCACTGAGATATTATTTATGGTTACTGGAGGAATGTAGGAAGACATAAACAATGGAGGGAATGAGGAGTAAATAAATGCATCAAACTAAGAAATATCATATGAAAACAAATAGAGAATGGAGGAATGAAGGACTGTATCTGGCTAAAAGATCACAGGAAGAGATGGAGGAAAGTGGCTTTAAAGAAAAATGTAGGAGCATATACGTAGGAACAAAGGAACAGTTGTAGAAGTGTAAGAATGGAAGGAATACACAAACTGCATGGACAAGAATGAACTAAGAAATGAACGACTGAAGGGAACAAACAAAGGAGGAAAGTAAGTGGGAGTGGAGTAAGGGATCTGCAAAGTAAGTGAAGAGAAAAGTAAGAAAGAACAAGTGAGAGTGGTTAGAGCAGGGTGGGCCGTGGTGAAGGCAGAATCAGATCAGTTCAATCTTAAAACCGCATAAAAGGTTTGTGACTGTGTATCCATGGCTTGGCCCTGAATTTTGACGTATGGCCATGAAACAGGAAGTCATAACTTCAGTGTACTTTGTCCAGTCCCTCCCTAAAAACATCTACATACTAATATTCAGTCATAGTCATAGCGCCACCTACTGGAAATAGGAAGTAAGTCTCCTGTGGCCATCATCATCTGATTTACGTGAAATTTTCACAGTGTAGTCTACACATGATGCTGGTGCCCTGATACGTGTGGACCGAAAGGGGGCTTAACATTGCTGCTTGCAGCTTTAATCATTATTTACCTCCCATCAGCCTGTTTAGTGCTAATTAAAGTATGCTAGCACACCAAACTAATTATGGATGGTGAAAACGGTTCTAACCCCGGCTGGGGCAGTTTGCATGTCCTCCCTGTGTCTGCGTGCTGCAGTTTCCCCCACCATGGTAAATGGTAAATGGACCTGTACTTGTATAGCACCTTTCTAGTCTTCAGACCACTCAAAGCGCTTTTACACTACATGCCACATTCACCCTTTCACACACATTCACTCAGTGATGGCAAAGTCCATCAAACAGAAAATAACTCACTCACACATACACATTCACACACCGAGCATAGGGAGCAATTTGGGGTTCAAATTGCGGCATGGAGGAGGTGGACGACCTGCTCTACCTCTGAGCCACAGCCACTCACAGAAAAACATGTATGTTAGGTTAATTCTCCAGCCAGTGCCCTTGACCAGGGTACTGTCTGTGGCTGATGACCAGATGAACACAGACTAAGAAAGGCCTTTTGACTGAGGGGAAAACACAAGGAAAAGAGAAAACAAAGCTTTGTAAGAAAAGGGGAATGACGGAAGAAAGGAAGTACTGAAAGAAGAAGGAACAGGAATTGAGAGGATTAGAGGAAGAATGAGATGAAACAAACAATAAATAAAAATAGAGTGGAAAAGCTGAAGACCCTCTGTAGATCAGATGAAACTAGGCCTCAGCTCTCAGAGGATGTTGTGCTCTATAATGTCTGCCCACATAAAGCGCTGTCAACACGTGGGCAGGAAGAATGGTTCCTGTTCTCCTGAAGAAAACACACACACACATACATTCAACATATACTTCTATAACCTTTTTTCATGGACTTTCTCTCCTTCTCAGATTTTCTTCTCTTTCTCTTCCCTTCCCTCCCTTTCCCTTCTCTGTCTTTTTGCTTGTTTATCTTCTTACCGGCCCCTTTCTTTTTCTGTCTTTATTCGTCTTTCTTTTACTTTTGAAGCCTTTGTGTGTCTCTCGATTCTTTCCCGATCCTCATTTTTACCTCCTTATCCTCTTGGTCTCTTTCTCTCCTGTCCCCTGTTCCCTTCTTCCCATCACATTTTTTTCACTGTATTTTCTCTTAATTTCCTAATTTTCTCCTCTCTTACTCTAAAGCTGTCTGTTTATTTCTCTCCCTGTGTACTTTCTCTGTAAGTTTGGTAAGTTTGTTTCAGTAGTCTTTGTTTTACAGAACTTGTAAATTCTGAAAGATGAACGATATGGTGGAGTAAGGGTGTCTCTCCTGTCACTCCAGAGGATGCTGGGAACTGATTGATGCTATTTTTAAAACTCCACTGAGACAATAAAAGAAAACCACAAGAGAGAAACAGTGAAGCTCAGTTTACAGACTGTTTGTCTGCAGGTGGCAGGTCATGGGTCAGAGGTCACAGGGTTTTTTTATGGAGTTTATTATGAAGCAGCTCTGTCACTGTTGATCGAGTAGAAATTTATTCAAAATGCAGGAACCAATGATGCTGAGGGGAGGAGTGGGAATATTGTTCACAGTAGGTCCATTTAGTCCTGGCCTATGTGTGTGTGTGTGTGTGTGTGTGTGTGTGTGTGTGTGTGTGTGTGTAAGCAATTACAACTCACATTATTGTTCAGCTGCTCAGAGACTGCCATAGGGCTGCGTTCACACTGCAGCTGAAAGTTGCCCAAAAGTACTTTGATCTTGTCATTGACTGATAGTTGAAGTTGAACTAGTAGTAGGTTAGCGTTGGTGGATATGTGTGCATTTTTTCCCCCTTTTTTTCTAGTCTTTTCAGTACATGCCGGTTGATTCAGAAGGATGAGCTGTATCAGTCACACTGACAAATACTATGTGAACACAACAGTCAGAAATTACACAGCAGTGTGAACACAGCCTGTCAGAGAGAGAGGGGCATTAGAAAGAGAGACTACTCTCTCTCTCTTACTGTGGCTCACTTGCTCTCTAGCTCACACACGCACGGTGTGTGTGTGTCAGATGTGTGACCTGTGTTGTGTGCGTGCAGTGTGGAGGACATGGAGCAGCAGAAGAAGCAGGACAGCGACTCAGGAGTCGGCAGCGACAACGGAGACAAGAGACTGTCTGCTACTGAGGTATTGAGTGTGTGTGAGATTCTGTGTGTCTATGTCCTTTTGTGTAATTGTATCTATATGCTATGTTGTCTCACCTTTAGAAAACCTCTCCTTTGGTGTCTCTTTCGATCTCCAGGTGTTCAGCTCTCTTTTAACATCATTTTATTCTGTCATATGTACTACATCATTATATTTGTAATGTACATCATTATACTTAAAATCATTCGTTGGACACTGAAGATCCACCTTGTCAGTGACTAATTGTCAGTGCAGTGATATAACAGCTGATTATTTTTGTTAAATGGTAACAGAAAAGGCAGTAATAATCCTGAATGTGTCAGAAAAACCACGCTTAGTTCATTTATTTCAACACAGTTGTTCCAAACACGGAATAAATCGCTGCCATCTTGACTAAAACAAATACTGGCAGACTTATTAATTTGATATGATTAATCAGCTCGCTACAAACTCACTCCTCCCCTCTCCTGTCCCTTCCCAAACCGGCTGTGTCTAGTCCTGGTCGGAGCTGCTGTAAATCACCTGGCCTCTGAGGGTGTCAGAGGCTGTGTTTGGTCCCAGCCTCGTTCACTCGGAGGCTGATGAGCCTGTTTTCCCCTCTCCTCACTTTGGCCATGTGCTCATTCCAGCCCATGTTCCTCTCATTCTCCTGGCAGTCCTAAGCTCCGAGTGGTGTAAACAAACCTCCCCTGCTACTTTGAGCTTGCAGTCCAGGTACAGTCAGCTGATAGGACCACAAGCAGATTGGCAGCAGCTCGTACAGTTATGCAGTGCTGTGTTACAAGAGAAAAGGTTTGTGTTGCAACAGTCTCCTGATACTGATACAAAACGCAGGTCTCGTTTTACGTTTTTTTTTTTTCTGCAAATATCCAACTAATGAAAAGTGCTTCAACTAAGACTCTTCACGTCGACAGTTTACTCGACTACATTTGTTTCTCACTCAATAAAATTGTGTACATTTTACATGAGCAGTATCAATAAATATGATGTTAGAATGCTGTTTGGAGCTGCAGCTAATACTTTTTTTATTATTGATTAATCTGTCAATGATCTGATGAATGAATAATAATAATAAATAATAGTCTAAACTATATATGGCAGAAATTAAATGAAAAATGGCCATTGCAATTTCCTGGAGCCCAATGTAATGTCTTTTTGTGTCCGACCCAAATATTCAGTTTACAAGGATATCAAACAGAGGGACAGCAAATCCTCACACTGGAGAGGCTTGCACCGGAGAATGCTAATAGATGACTATAATGATGACTCAATTATTTTGGTTGTTGATCAGCTGATCAGTTTGTTGTTGTTGTTGTTTGTTGCAGCCATCAGATGAAGACAGCCTGAGTCTCAACGTGCCGATGAGTCACATCACGGAGGAGGAGGGAATCAGTAAAGACGACTCGAGTGAACACATCTGCTCCCTAACAGGTACACACACACAAACACACACACACACACAGCTGATGGTAGACAGGACGTGGTGGTTTTACAAAATAAATGTTTGATTATTTTCTCTCAAACAACTAGTTGATTAATCATCTCATAGGCAGTATATTAATACATCTGTCCTCACAGTGGAGCTGATTCATTATTTGTACTGAAGAATATTAGTAATATTTGATTATAGTAATATTGAGTAATATTACATATTCAGTTTAGGTTTGCTTGCTAGAACAGGAAATTTGAAGTAATACAGACTCTGTTTAACATCTATTGCAACATTTAACTATCAAATGTAAGGTCCAGTGTGTAGAATTTAGTGGGATCTAGCAATGTAATTATAGATTACAACACACTCTTCTCACAATCCCATTCACCATTTTCCCCCCAGGATAACAAAGTCATGACCCGCCTTATTCTACCTCTGATTGGCTAGTACTCGCTGCCTTCGTTGGTTAGGTTGGTTAGGTTTAGGCACGAGGAGTCAGATCGGTTAGTGTTAGAGAATGTCAGGGTAAGCTAGGTAAGAGGCAAAGTAGGGTGTGTCATGACTTCACCATCCTTGAAAAACAAACAAAAGTCACCTTCAGAGTATGAAAAACTACGGTGTCTACAGAACATATGAAAAACACCAAAGGCCCTATCTAGAGCCATGTTTGCGCCACAAAAATATCCACTCAAAAACAGCTCAGCCCAGCAACGTGCAGCTTGATTGGCATTCGCCAGAGAACACCAGAATTGGCAGGTCTGCCATTGGCACCCCGTTCTCTTCACAGATGAGAGCAGGTTCACACTGAGCACATGTGACAGATGTGAAAGAGTCTGGAGACGCTATGGTGAACATTATGTTAGGTGTTTCTATTAGGTACCAGGATGAAAATTCTCAAAGCCATTGTCAGACTTTACGCTGGTGCAGTGGGCCCTGGGTTCATCTTGGTGCAGGATAATGCCCGGCCTCATGTAGCCAGAGTGTGTAGGCACTTCCTGGATGACGAATGCATTGATGCCATTGACTGGCCCTCACGTTCCCCAGACCTGAATCCAATTGAGAACCTCTGGGATGTTGTGTATTGGTGCCTCCGACGCCGCCAAGTAGCACCACAGACTTTCCAGGAGCTCACTGATGGCCTGATCCAGGTCTGGGAGGAGATCCCCCAGGACACCCTACGCCGTCTCATCAGGAGCATGCCCAGATGTTTTCAGGAGTGCATACATGCATGTGGGGGGCATACACACTACTGAGTCACATTATAAGTTGCTGTGATAAAATTCATGCAGTTTGGATCAGCCTGTGATTTGAATTTTTTACTTTAATTTTCTGTGTAATTTGGATTCCTGCCCTCAGTTGGTTGGTGATTTTCGTTTCCATTGACCGTTGTTACATCATTTTTGTTCTAAATTACACAATGTTGTACAGTTAAGATTTTGAACTTGAATATTTTGTTCATCCAGATCCAATGTGTGATTCAAGTTAGGGCTGGGCGATATATCGATATAAAAAATATATCGATATATTTTAAAATGTGATATGGAATTAGACCATATCGCATATATCGATATAGTTCAAATTTGCGCTGTGATCCTTGCTCCAAGCAAGCTGCTGACCCGGAGCTCTCTGCACTGCTCCCACGCCCCCGCCACCACCCCTCCTCTGTCAATAACGTAATGTTTGTGTTTATACCCATAATTTAGACTGTAATGTTGTCAGACTGTTAGGTAAGCTAACAGCTGAGTAATTAACTGATGTTACAGGTAACTTAACGTGCTAACGTTACGTTAGCTAACGTTAGCTAGCTTTAACTTGTTAAGCTCGGCATGATTCATGTCAGCTAAACACGTTAATATTGAGTGTGGTTTTAGTCGGGATGGGTGCTTGTTCTGTTAACAGGCAGCAAATCTTTATCATACCATTAACGTTATGTTACTAACGTTACAGACACTTTTTGCTGAGTCAACCTAATGTACAGCTCAGTAATAGCGTTAACTTACGTTACGTTGTTATAACGTAATTGTACTTGCTTGTGTCATAACGGTAGCAGTTTTGGCGAGTGGTAACAGCCTTACTGCCTTCTGAAAATATTAATTTAAAAGTTATAATGCAGCCTAACTAACAAACACACACACACACACACACACACACCGAACACACACACACACACACTGTATATAACTAATATAATGTTCATAATGTATATATCTTTCATATTGTGTATTGTCTGAATATTTTGACTTATTGTATTTTGATGCTTTGCTTTGGCAATATTTTTTTAAAAAAACTTTCATGCCAATAAAGCCCATTTTATTATTTATTTTGAATTTGAATTGGGAGAGTGAGACAGAGGGAGAGCGAGCGAGAGAGAGACACTGAACAATTACTCTCACTTTGCGGAAAAAATATCGGGATATATATCGTATATCGATATTCAGCTTAAATATATCGGGATATGACTTTTGGTCCATATCACCCAGCCCTAATTTAAGTGTTCTCTTAATTTTTATAAATCAATTCTGTCCAAGCCTGACCTACAGCAGCAGTTTTGGGCCCAAACCTGGCGGGTCGTGTTTGGTCCAGTCGTTATGTTATTTTGGTACCTTTTCCATTAGTTGCCCAGCCCTGCCATCTGATAGTTTCAGGCCTAATATTTATGAAGTCGTCTTCTAACAGGAACCATTGTGCACTTTGCTCCTCTAACAACCATGAGCCATCAGCTGTGTGTCTGCAGTGTCTCCCAGTATCTGGGCTGTTGAACTCCATTAGAGAACAGCAGCAGCTCCCCAGACGCACAGTTTAAATAGACTTTAATCAGCCTTAATCAGGTCAGAGATGATGGTGGGTCACATTAACTCAGCTGAGATGAGTGAAAAGAGGGCCTTCTGGCTCATCTTTTTCTTACAGTCTCTATGGGTAAGGCTTGTCTACTTTTCAAAAAAATTAACAAGATATAAGATATAGATATATAAATATAAAACACTATATGCATTATAGAAGTGTGGTGTGCAAACAAAAAAAAACAGTGTTTAACTGTGCATGTGCAGTTACTGGAAGATAAGTTTGTACGAAGAAGTTATGCATAGCAGGTTAAAGTTAGCCGTCATTAATCAGCAGAGGTTGGAGGTACTGGGTGCTGTGGAGTCTGATGGCTGATTGCACAAACGAGACTCCAAACCGCTTTGAGGCTCAAGGCTGGATTAGTCTGTGGCTGAAAATGCTCCTAAGCCTCCTCAGCTCAGCGTAGAGAGGATGAGAGGGGTTGTCCATGATGGCTTTCAGCTTCCCTCTCATCCTGTTCTCAGTCACAGCCTCCACACTGTCCAGCTCCATCCCCACCACTGAATTAGCCTTCTTCCTCAGCTTGTTGACACCGCAAGTCCCGATGCCTCCTCCCAAGCACACTACAGCAAAGAAGAGGACACTGGCCACTACAGACTGGTAGAACATCCGTAGTAGCCGAGTGCACATGTTGAATGACCTGAGCCTCCTCCGAAAGAACAGCCTGCTCTGTCCTTTCCTGTAGAGGGCATCAGTGTGATCCGTCCAGTCCAGTTTGTTGTTAAGAAGAAGATATACTTTATTGATCCCCTAGGAGAAGTGTTACCCCAAGGAACTTGTAGTCCAACATCTCTACCCTCTCCTCCCTTATTGCAACTGGGGATGGGGGTGTGCTGGAAGTCCATCACTAGCTCCTTGGTTTTTCCTGTGTTGAGCTGTAGGTTGTTTCTGACGCACCATCCAATGAAGTTCTGTACTCCTCCTCCCTGTCATTTGTGATACAGCCGACAATGGAGGAGTCAACCAAGAACTTCTTTTGGTGGCACGCTCCCAAGTTGAAGCAGAAGTCAGAGGTGTAGAGGGTGAACAGGAACGGTGATAGAACAGTTCCTTGGGGTGTACCAGTGCTGCTCATCACCACGTCTCACAAGCAGCTGTGCAGCCTGACGTACTGTGGTCTGTCGGTGAGGTAGTCTGATTAAAGGTTTCATTTAACCAGACTTCCAGAGGTAGTTGTCTCCTTCAAGAAGACACTGATCACTGCAGATGCAGTGAGGACAACTTAGAAAACACAAATAAGTTTCTGGTTGTCCCTTAAAGGTCCTCTCCAGACATCTTTTCACAAGTTTAACTGCAGGACACAAGATGTCTTCTGCTTTACTGTAAAGTCCATTCTCAGTGTATGTGACCTTTAAGTTTCCACATTACACTTGTGCAAGTTTCATACTGGACACTGATTGGCTCAAAACAAGTTGAGATGTCACCAAACCCAGCAGGCACATCCAGGTGTTAAACTGAGGTTCAAGGTGAGAACTGAGAAGCTTTCCCTCTTCAGCAGATGAATGTGAAAAAAATTCCCCCATATTATAATAAAAACTAAAACTAATGGTGACACTAATGGAAACAAAACTTTTTAAACAATAAAAACTAAACTGAAATGATTTAACCCACTCTGGAAACTTACTGAATTGAAAACAAAAATTAAAAACTAATAAAAAAAAATAATTCTGCTCCATAGTAAATAGCGTTTGATTTCAGACCATGACATTCACAGTTCCCGTTTCCTCCATTGCAGCAGACCCAAACTCCGACTCGGTCCGTCTGATTGAGGAGAGCCCTACGGAAGCCCTGAGGGACCAGTTCAGCTACAGAGACTCTGCCCTCAGCACTCGCTTCGTCAACTACATCAAGGCAAGACTCCATGTTCTAGTGCCGCATACTGTTTATTATTAAAGATGGATGCGGTAAATGCTTCACTTCATGAATAATGCCACACTAAAGTCTAGTTATGTAAAAGTGTTATGTGTCACTGCACTACTTTATTCCACTGTTAGACTGCTTGAAGCCTGTGTCCGTTTTAAAGGAGCCTAAAGCCAAATGTCACTTTGTCAGTTAAAGCAGCAGTAGGTAATTTAAAAAAAAAATCCTGACAATAGTACAGCAGACAGATAATCTGTTAAAAAAATTTTTTTTTTTTTTATTATTGAATTATTGAATAATCAATTATCCGATGAATTAATTAATAGTCTAAACTATATAATGTCATAAATTAGTGAAAAATGCTCATCACAATATCCCGCAGCCCAATGTAATGTCTTTGTTATGTCTGACCAATAGCCCAAAACCCCAAATATTCAGTTTACAAGGATATCAAACAGAGGGACAGCAAATCCTCACACTGGAGAAGCTTGCAACACAGAATATCTGCCTCATGTACTACTGTCAGGATATAGTGAAAGTTTCAGTGAATGACAAAAAGTTATTTTTATAAAAGTTACCTACTGCAGCTTTAAGAAGAGTTAAAAGTTGTCAGTTGATTTGGTAAATGGACCTGTACTTGTATAGCGCCTTTCTAGTCTTCCGACCACTCAAAGCACTTATACACTACGTGCCACATTCACCCTTTCACACACATTCACTCAGTGATGGCAAAGTCCATCGAACAGAAACTAACATTCATACACATTCACACACTGATGCACGGCATCGGGAGCAATTTGGGGTTCAGTATCTTGCTCAAGGATACTTCGACATGTGGCACCAGGAGCCAGGGATTGAACCCACAACCCTCCGATTAAGGAACGACCGGCTCTGCCTCTGAGCCACAGTCGCTACCATGATTTGAAGGCCTAACAGTGCAGCGGTTAGACTGTCTTGTTCTAAATGGTTACTATTACGTTTCCACTTATGTAGAAACATTAACACTGACAACCAACAAAGAAGAACCCAGGAAGACGTGAGACAGTCAAAGAAATGGGATTTATTTACAATATTTAAGTGAAAAGGTAAACAACGAATGTAGGTTTGAACAATGTGGGGGGAAGAGGGACCTGTGGGGTTTTGCCAAATAAAACAAAGTACAATCATAAAGGGCCTACCTCAACCTTATCTGTGTGAAAAGAAAAAAGGAAACGAAAAGCCTGACTGTTTTGCCCAAAAAAAGCATCTAAAAATAATAAAAGTACAACAGTGGCAACAACACATAACCTGGTGTGACAACAGTTTCTTTCTACGTGTGTAGATGTAGAGGGTACCCCTAGTCCCAGCCACAAACCTTCCTGCCCAACAAAGCAAAGTCAGAGAGAGAGCAAAACAAGAGAGAGGCTTTTCAAAGGTCACTCCATCTCTGATTGGCCGGAGTGTGAGCCAATCCACAGCTCTTTTCACAGGCTGGCAGCCAGTCTTCCAATCTTCCACCTCTCACCTGCAGGACTGGGGAAGAGAGAGAGAGAGAGAGAGAGAGAACGAGACACACACACAAATCTATACACGTAACAGTTACGTCACAGTGAGCCTGTGAGTCACTGTGGAGACTCAGACGTGACCAAATAAGGACCAAACCTAAAACAAGGGGACAACAACAATTTCTAAAACCTGACAGTCCAGAGTTAGGACCAGGAAGCAGAGCTGTTGTCTTACACACTTCTCTGCGCTTTCTTCAGAACAGTCACCCACCCAAAACCCCATAGAGACTGTGTCTGTCCCCCGACCACCTAAATTATTTAAATTATTTAAAGAAATAAAAACAAGAGGAGTTGAACATAAAAACCTAATAAAAATTAAAACCAACTCCTCAGTAGCACAAAATAAGAGAATGAAATGTGGATTGTTAAATATCAGGTCTCTGTCCTCTAAAGCTGTTTTAGTGAATGAATTAATATCAGATTATGATATTGATTTACTTTGTCTTACTGAGACCTGGTTGTCCCACGAGGAGTATGTTAGCCTAAATGAATCCACCCCCCCAGTCATATTAATACTCACATTCCTCGAGGCACAGGCCGAGGAGGTGGAGTAGCAGCCATATATGATTCGAGCGTTTTAATGGACCCTAAACCTAAACTAAATTATAATTCATTTGAAAGCCTTGTTCTTAGTCTTTCTCACCCAAACTGGAAAACATTGCAGGCAGTTCTATTTGTTATAGTGTACCGCGCTCCTGGACCGTACTCTGATTTTATATCTGAATTCTCAGAGTTTCTATCAAGTTTAGTCCTTAAATCAGATAAAGTAATTATTGTAGGTGATTTTAATATTCATGTGGATGTTGACAATGACAGCCTTAGTAATGCATTTATATGATTAATAGACTCAATTGGCTTCTGTCAGAGTGTAAATAAACCAACTCATTGTTTTAATCACACTCTTGACCTTGTTTTATCATATGGCATTGATATTGAACATTTAACAGTCTTCCCACATAATCCTTTCCTATCTGACCATTATTTAATAACTTTTGAATTCATACTATTAGATTATAAGCCATTAGGCAAAACTTCCTACAGCAGATGTCTATCTGACAGTGCTGTAGCTAAATTTAAGGAGGAGATTCCTTCAGTGTTTAATTCAATGCCATGGCTGAATTTAACAGAGTCCTATAACGACTTTAGTCCCTCTGAAATTGATAATCTTGTCGATAGTGCTACAGGCTCACTACGATCAACATTAGACTCTATCGCTCCTATAAAAAGGAAATCATTAAAACATAGGAGACTAGCACCGTGGTATAACCACCAAACCCGCCAGTTAAAACGAATAGCTAGGAAATCTGAAAGGAAATGGCGCTCTTCCAAATTATCAGAATATCGCTCAAATTGGCAAGATAATCTTAAAATTTATAGAAAGGCTCTCCGTAATGCCAGAGGAGCCTATTACTCAGTACTAATAGAAGAAAATAAGAATAACCCTAGGTTCCTCTTCAGCACTGTAGCCAGGCTGACAGAGAGTCACAGCTCTATTGAGCCACATATCCCCATAAACTTAAGTAGCAATGACTTCATGAGCTTCTTCTATAATAAAATTATTACTATTAGAGAAAAGATTAATCACCAACTGCCATCAACAGTTATCAGTGGCTCTCCAAGTTCAGGGACTTCTGTCAGTGTAAACTTAGATATATATTTAGACTGTTTTTCTGCTATCGATCTTCATCAGTTAACTTCAATCATTTCTTCATCGAAGCCATCAACCTGTCTATTAGACCCGATCCCAACTAGGCTGCTTAAAGAAGTTGTTCCCTTAATTGGCACTTCTTTACTGGATATGTTTAATCTTTCTTTATTATCAGGATATGTACCACAGTCCTTTAAAGTAGCTGTAATTAAACCCCTTCTTAAAAAGTCCACTCTTGACCCAGGGGTTTTAGCCAACTATAGACCGATTTCTAACCTCCCCTTCCTCTCTAAGATTCTGGAGAAAGTAGTCGCCAAAGAGTTGTGTGTCTTTCTACACAACAATAGTTTATTTGAGGATTTTCAGTCAGGATTTAGAGTTCATCACAGCACAGAGACAGCTCTGGTTAAAGTTAATAATGACCTTCTGACTGCTTCTGACAATGGACTTGTCTCTGTACTTGTATTATTAGATCTTAGTGCTGCATTTGACACCATTGACCATAATATTCTTTTACAGAGACTTGAGCATCAAATTGGCATTAAAGGAACCGCACTAAGCTGGTTTAAGTCATATTTATCAGATCGCTCGCAGTTTGTACATGTTAACGATGAATCTTCAATAAATACTATAGTTAGTCATGGAGTTCCACAAGGTTCTGTACTTGGACCAATACTATTTACTTTATATATGCTCCCTTTAGGCAACATTATTAGGAATCACTCCATTAACTTTCACTGTTATGCAGATGATACGCAGTTATATCTATCAATCAAGCCCAATAAAATTAATCAATTATCTAAATTACAAACATGTCTTAAGGACATAAAATCCTGGATGACCTGCAATTTTCTGATGTTAAACTCAGAAAAAAACGAAATTCTTGTTCTTGGCCCCAAAAACCTTAGAGACTCACTGTCTAAAGATATAGTTAGTCTAGATGGCATTAACTTGGCCTCTAGCACCACTGTCAGGAATCTTGGAGTTATCTTTGATCAGGATTTGTCATTTAACTCCCACATAAAGCAGACCTCTAGGACTGCCTTCTTTCATTTACGTAATATTAGAAAAATTAGACACATACTATCACAGACAGATGCAGAAAAACTAATCCATGCATTTGTTACTTCAAGGCTGGATTACTGCAACTCTTTATTATCAGGTTGCCCCAATAAGTCCATTAAAACGCTCCAATTAATTCAGAACGCTGCAGCACGAGTACTGACAGGAACTAGAAAAAGAGATCACATCTCTCCTTTACTAGCTTCTCTGCATTGGCTCCCTGTAAAATGTAGAATAGAATTTAAAATCCTCCTCCTCACCTATAAAGCTCTTCATGGTCAGGCCCCTTCATATCTTAAAGAGCTCATAGTACCCTATTACCCCTCTAGAACACTACGTTCTCTGAATGCTGGGCTACTTGTGGTTCCTATAGTCTCTAAAAGTAGAACAGGAGCCAGAGCCTTCAGTTACCAAGCTCTCCTGTGGAACCAGCTTCCATTTGTGGTTCGGGAGGCAGACACCCTCACCACATTTAAGAGTAGGCTTAAGACATTCCTTTTTGATAAAGCTTATAGTTAGGGCTGGATCAGGTGAGTCCTGAACCATCCCTTAGTTATGCTGCTATAGGCCTAGACTATCGACTATCTAGATTGCCATTGCCAATACTGTTGTTGCTGTGCACCTGTCTCGCTCTCTCTCTCTCTCTCTCTGCCTCTCTCTCTCTCTCTCTCTCTCTCTCTCTCTCTCTCTCTCTCTCTCACCCCAACTGGTCGAGACAGACGACCACCCACCTAGAGCCGAAGGATCTGTCCTAGGTTTCTGCCTTTTAACAGGCAGTTTTTCCTTGCCCTTGTCGCCAAGTGCTTGCTCATGGTGGTACTGTTGGGTCTCTGTAATTAATGTTTTAAAGAGTTCGGTCTAGACCTGCTCTATTTGAAAAGTGTCCTGAGGTAACTTCTGTTATGAATTGGCGCTATACAAATAAAATTGAATTGAATTGAATTGAACACAAAGAGCTGTAGCAGGGTACTGAATTTCTGTACCTTTATGCTTCGTACCAAAATGCTTGAGACTGTTTCCTGTCATATGAGTGGGCTCCCAGATCTGAAGTACAATGCATATTACTGATAGGAAGGATGGACCAGAGTACGGAAAAGAAGACCCAAGTTTAAATTAAAGCTACAAGCAGCGTTTGGCGGGACCTCACACTCCACGCAACTTGGGGCGTGCTGCGGCAGTGTCGCGTGCCGTCGTAACACGTGCGGACCACAACATGAAAATCTGCCGTTAATCAGCTCAAAATCGCCACGCAAAATCGCCACTTCCTTTTGCCAGTAGGTGGCGCTATCACTATGTCTGAATATTGTCATTTACACGTGTTCAGGGCGGCACTGTACACTCAAGTTATAACGAATTCGTGTTTTGTGGCGGTCCATCAAAATTTCCCGCCACCACACAGACACGCCCCCTCACCACAGTCAACACATATCATCAACAATGTGTTTTGCATTTTATAAGTAAATTTCAGCTGGATCTGATCATCCTGCGAGGAGAGGAACGTGAAAGTATAAAACGTGATACTTCCTGTTACCAGTATGTGGCGCTATCACTATGTCTGAATATTGTCATGTAGACGTGTTCAGGGTGGGACTGTTGTCAAACAGAAGTTTCATTGAGATTGGATCATGTACGCTGAAGTTATGAGGACGTGTTCAGGGTGGGACTGTACACTGAAGATATGAGTACTATCTGTTTGATGGCCAATCGGTGGAATTCGACATGTCGTCACAGGCACATGGTTAAACATACAGTCACAAATAGCACAACTTTTGATAACCAATGTGTGTAGAATGAAGTGATCGAATTTGAAGTCAATCTGATAAAATCTGTTGGAGGAGTTAGTTAAAACAGAAGCCCTTAAATGCCGTAAATTGCATCACAGTTTGACATTCGATTCAACCTGGCCAACTTTGAGGGAACGCCGCGGACACGCCCTTTAACATACAGTCACAAATAGCACAACTTTTAATCAGCACCATTTTTTGACTGTACTGACTAATTTTGAAGCAGATCTGATAAATTTCCTAGGAGGAGTTCATTCAAATACAACGCAAAAAAACGCTGAAAATCATTGCAAAATGCCGAAAATGGCATCACAGTTTGACATTTGATTCAACCTGGCCAACTTTGAGGGCACGCCACGGACACGCCCTTTAATGTACATGCACAAATAGCACAACTTTTAATCAGTACAATTTTTTGACTGTACTGACCAATTTTGAAGCAGATCCAATAAATTTCCTAGGAGGAGTTCGTTCAAATACAATGCGAAAAATCACAGAAAATTACCAAAAAAATCAAAACGGCTGACTTTGATGCCACGCCACGGACACACCCTTTAATGTACAGTCACAAATAGCGCAACTTTTAATCAGCACCATTTTTTGACTGTACTGACCAATTTTGAAGCAGATCCGATAAATTTCCTAGGAGGAGTTCGTTCAAATACAACATGAAAAAATCACCAAAAATGCGCCCGGAATTCACTATGGCCAACTTTGAGGGCACGCCACGGACACGCCCTTCAACGTACTCGCACAAATAGCACAACTTTTGTTCAGAACCATTTTTTGACTGTAATTTTGAAGCAGATCCGATAAATTCCCTAGGAGGAGTTCGTTCAAATACAACGCGAAAAGTTCGCCGAAAGTGAAAACGAAAATCAAAATGGCCGACTTCCTGTGGGGTTTCGGGTATGGGTCCAAAGGGCTATTTTGGACGTCCCAGCATGTTACACGTGCCTACCGAGTTTCTTAAAAATCTGTGAAACGTTGCGCCGGGGCTGCTGTTTTTTTTATCCTGTAGGGGGCGCTACAAACACGATTTTTGGTATGTGAGCTTCAGGCACCACTCTACATGTGCTCTGTGAATTTCATATTCATAACTATTGCGGTCTCCGCACAGTGATTTACCATGCCACCAGACCGCCACCTAGTGGCGGATTGCTGACACATTTTTTAGCAAGCCTCAGGGAGCCATTGGGAAGCATCGTACCAAGTTTCATCTTAATCACACATACTGTTGTAGAGATATAAACTTCTTCATTTTAAAGAGCGCCACCTTGTGGCGATGGCCTGAAATTGTGCACGATGCCTAAGGAAGACATGTGGAACTATGGACCCAAGTTTGGTGTCAATCGGACATACCAATGTGGAGAAATGGTCAATTTAATTTTATAACCTGCTGTTTTTTTGAAATATCAAAATTCTTTTTTATTATGAGGGTCCTCAGATGCTACGTGGAAAAATGTTTGTGAATCAGACAAAGCGCATGGGGGGAACACGGAAAAGTAGTTTACGGACATTTTGCGCTCTAGCAGAGAAAAATTGAATGTGCGACAAACTATGCAGAAGGTATTAGCCTAAACACATTTTTTATGATAGAAGCGCCACCTAGTGGCCAACCCAAAAGCGACGCATAGAATACCCCCATTTTCACCAGGCCTGACAACTTTGCCAAATAAAATTGAGTTTTCGTATATTTTCAGGGGGGCAAAAATGCAGTCAAAGGGGGCTAAAAATAATAATAGGTAAGAAGAAGAAATCGAGCAAAAACAATAGGGACCTCCAGCGGTCGCTGGCTCGGTCCCTAATAAACTGGATTTTTTTTCATAAAGATACACTAAGATAAGATATTCCTGTATTTATCCCCCTTAGGAGAAATTCAGGTTGACACAGAAGCAATAGGGCAAAGTAAAGCAAAGAACAAACAATATCACAATAAAACTATTACTAATATTATTAATATTAGAAGATATAAAACTGTAAATGAAAGTATATACACTATGCATTGTTCAAGTAGGACATGGAGTGCAAAATATGAGCAGAAAGTTAAACTTGACTAAAACTAAAAAACTGAAACTAAACTAAAACTACTAAGTGGAAATTAAATATAAATAGTGCGAAAGGCTTGTGCGTTGTTGGTAGAGTTTTAAATCAGTCTTTGTCTGCGGGGGTTGGAGGTACTGGAGGTACTGGGTGCTGTGGCGTTGTGGAGTCTGATGGCTGATGCTACAAACGAGCCTCCAAACTGCTTCGAGGCTCGGGGCTGGGTCAGTCTGTAGCTGAAAGTGCTCCTGAGCTGCCTCAGCTCAGTGTAGAGAGGATGAGAGGGGTTGTCCATGAAGGCTTTCAGCTTCCCTCTCATCCTCTTTTCAGTCACAGCCTCCACACTGTCCAGCTCCATCCCAACCACTGAGCTGGCCTTCCTCACCAGCTTGCTAAGCTTGTTGGCACCCCCAGTGCCGATGCCTCACCCCCAACAGACCACCACAAAGAAGAGGACACTGGCCACTACCACTGAAAAGTGGACTCACCTGTTATTTTAGTATTAACTTCTTTCTTTAATAATGGCTGTTTTAACAGAGATAGAAACAGGACCCAAAAGAAGAAGAATGAAATGATTAAGACTTCCATTTAGTTAATGTCCCCACAGTGCTGCATGACAGTGGAGAATACTTTAGTTACCTATTTTGAATTTGTTTTCCTGTCCAGAAAAGCCCAAGATCATTACTGAACCACGGAGCTGCAACTGGGCTCGAAATATTTTGGGAACCTGTTTTTCTTTGGGCCCTTTGCAATCTACTCGGTTTAAACTGTGATTTTCCGGGCAATAGTGTGTTCAGCTGATATTGAATACTGCTAACCCTACACCAAACTTCTGTTTCTGTTGTGAAGTTTTAAGAATAACATTACTAAAGCAACAGGCCTGTTAATTCCAGCTTGTTAGAGGCATTATTGTGCACTGAAACAGAAGACTGTTCCTGTTTAAATCTGCACAGATTTTGATGCAAAGCTTTCAGTTTTCTTAACCAATGACTGCCGATTTCTTATGATTTGTCTCTTTCTGCACTTTCAGTTGTAAGTCTGGTTGAACCATTGTGCAGCATTTTGTTCTCCATGTACAAAATATTACTTTTTGCAAACCCCTCATACAAAATAACATCTATTTGTAAAGGGGACTTTCTACAACTTAAAAAATATTTGTCCTCTCAGCCATCTGTCTGTACCCAGACAAGGAGAGGGTGGAGGAGAAGAGACAGAGTTTGTTACAGGGTCCTTATTGTTGTGTTTGTGTACCAGGGGATAGTCATAACATCTCTGAATGTTGGCCAATGGCTGAGCGAGTCTGTGGATCAGGTGACAGCTGCTGTGTGTTTTTGTGTGTGTTTGTTTCCATGTGTGTTTCTGTGCAGGGTCGGACAGCAGCAGACTTGGACGAGCCCCTCAGGATAGAAGAAGACTCACACTGGCCAACAGAACAAATGTAAGTTCATTTATTTCTGTCTGTTTTTCTATGAATCAGCTTTTTTCTGGGTGGGAGGTCAGACATTACAATAGAACAATACATTATAAACAAAACAAAGAGAAAATAATTTATCGAAAATGTATGTATGTAAGGATTAGGCAGGTACAGAAAATACAGTTTCAACATTTCATACAAATAAAATTAGTATTAATGTGTATTTAATGTTCTATAGTTTCCATTGTATCAACACTGTATTGTATTGGTTGAGAACATTCAGGGAGTCATGGATTAATGACAAGTGTGCCTCACATGTAACTTTCACAATAATCTCCCCTGTGAGTGCAGCATATCTGCATTACTCATAATTTGTGTCTTTGGGGTTCCAGGTCAAAGGTCACAGGGGGCACAGAGCTCCACATTGACATGATCAACCAGTTGAAGGAGGCTGTGGAGCTGCTGCAGGACCCCAGCAGGTGAGAACCAGCACAGCACCTGAGGATCACAGAGTGGAGTTCAGTTAGAGCAGCTTTTGGTCTGAGTGTCACAGTACCAAAACTGTGCTATTTGACATTTTTATGTTTCTTGTCTCATGCAACAATTAGAATGTTATCTTACTGCTAAAACTAGTAGTAGAAACAAAATCCAGTATAAACTAAATATATTGTATATTAATTTTCATAACAAATAGCATTTTGTACTTAACACTTAAGAATAAAAACAGTCAGTGAAGACTTCCACCAAAGTTTTTCTTGAAAACTTATTACATTAAACTTTTTACACATAATCATTTTCAGCACGTCAGCTTGTTCTCCTTGAGGCCCAGTGGAAATGGGTAAAAAAAAAATGCCCCTATTTCGCAGTGCTAAGGAATCCTTAAAAAAATTGTGGATTCATACCAGCACATGTCACTTGCTACGTGGCACATGTCACTTGCTACGTGGCATCACATTTAATCAAAATCTGTAGGCAGGTTTTAAAGCTGTTTTTAAAGCTTTTTAAACTTTTTGTCATACATGAGACAGATAATCTGTGAAAAAATCAGGTTCCTCTGGCCCCTCCTAGTCCCCCTAATGGTACTGTGGCTGAATGAAAACAACTAATCAAAACCGATAAAGATAGTGTAAGTCTGATTCCCATTTTACAACCTGGGAATGAGACTCAGCTATTTTTCTTATACTACTGTCAGGATACAGTAAATGTTTTAGGAAATAGGACAGTTATTTATAAAAGTTACCTGCTGCAGCTTTAAGCTAACACACTGCCAGAGGGAATATAAAAAAAAATAAAAAATCTCCCTTGTCAAATGACTTGTTTTGTTTTTTAGCCCCACCAAGCACACAAGAACTGTAGATAATCAAAGAAAGAAGAGAATCTAATTCATAATGTGGTTGTTCTGTGTATCAGAGTGAATACAGAGCAGGACGATCCGTCTGGAGTCCAGCTCTACCCAGTGGAAATGGTCACAGTGGAAGAGTCACTTAAGTAAGCAAGTTTCTGTCTTCTCACCCCAACTGGTCGAGACAGACGACCACCCACCTAGAGCCGAAGGATCTGTCCTAGGTTTCTGCCTTTTAACAGGCAGTTTTTCCTTGCCCTTGTCGCCAAGTGCTTGCTCATGGTGGTACTGTTGGGTCTCTGTAATTAATGTTTTAAAGAGTTCGGTCTAGACCTGCTCTATTTGAAAAGTGTCCTGAGATAACTTCTGTTATGAATTGGCGCTATACAAATAAAATTGAATTGAATTGAATTGAAAAAATTCTGTCTGTGTGTGAGAAATAAATAATACTGTGGTCGTGGGAAATACTAATTTCTGTTTACCAGGCAGCAGTCTAGTAAAATATGGGGACATGTCAACCCTAGTTCTGGTCAACAGTTTAACCACTGTTCTAAATCAGTTCTAAAGGTGTGTTGAATTGAATGTAACCATAGCAACAGGGCTTCTGTTTCAGGCGTACAGCTTTGCCTTGTGAAGTTTAAGATTTAAGATGTAAGATTTACTTCACCTCTCCAGCTACCAGTCCACACTTTATACTGTGGTCTGTGGGACTTGAACCACTGGTTCTGTGGTCTGCAAAGTTAATCTTAAGCTTTCTTTTTCTTTTCTTTAGTGGGCAGGACAGTGATGACGGCTTCACCACACAAAAGGTACACAACTTTAGAACTTCTCTTACTTTTAGTCGAGACACCACTAAACAATAAGCTGTCATCAGCATGGCTATTTTAATTTACCCCTTAGTCCCACCCCTACTTACTCTGTGCTACAATACCAGTTGAGCAAGCATTAGTCAGAACCTTTCTCCTTTCCTGTACTTAAATATGTATGTTCTAGGCTCATCTATGTTGATAAGACAGGGGTAGGACTTAGCAACGGGTCAGTTGCTTTTAGCATGACTTGGTAAGAAACCCCCCCCCTCCCCGTGGCAGCAAACCAAACACAACAAACAACCACAACACTGCAACCCAAGCTCATCCTCGCTTCTCATCGCCGACTAAAGTAACGCAACCAGTCTCATACACCTAAAAATAAAACTTTTCACAACAAACCCACAAGACTTTTGAGCACTTGTAGCACTCCCTGGCTGGTTTGTTGTGGTCCTTGTGATCAGGTCCTTGAGCATACAGTCATAAATATTATGGGAGATTAGCTGTGACCAAAGGCATTATCCCCTCCAGGCTTATGCCTGCCAGAGATAACAAGTATCTGCAATCATTGCTGTTGATTATAGCCTCTATTTTGTACAACCACTGGGGGGTGCTGAAGGTGAACATTTTGAAAACCTTCACAGAGGCTGTAAATCTAACAGCTGTGTGTGTATATATATATATATATATATATATATGTGTGTGATAGAGATCAAGTAGTCCCTAAACAATTTTGTGTGTTTGTCCATAGAAATATAAAGCCTATAAGTATATAAGTAATAGCAAGTATTTAAGGTCATTTAAACGTTTGATGCGTTCTGTAGCAGCACACGAAGGAAGGTGGCTATGAGTTCCAGAAGAAGAGACAGATGATTCTAGAGAAGGCCAAGTTTGAGGCCCAGCTTGCATGCCGGGAGTATGAATGGCATATGTCAATCAAGGTAAACCTAGCACCAGACCATGGATGTCTCGTCCCTCAGAGCGAACGCACCAAACTGTCCTCAGTTGTGTTCCTTAGTAAACTGACGGGCTTGTGTGTCTGTTTGCTGTGTGAACAGGGTGGGAACATGTTTATTTACTGTGTGCATCACGTCCCAATGTACCACCATTCACTCTAAAGTCATTCAACAAATACGGTTAAATAAAGCGTTTGCGGAAATAGTTACAACACGTAGCTCTGTTTAAAACCACACATTTTTGTTTATACATTTCTGTTTGTGTACAAGTTAAACAAGTTATGGCATCTTAATTAGTGAGTAGATGTATGGGTAGGTGATGTTCTAACTTCTCCCTCTGCTTCCAGTCGTTATGCTAAGCTAGGCTAACCATTTCCTGGCCACAGCTTTGTACTTAACTCACAGACATGAGATATAATAAATATATTGTGTAATAAAAGAAAGCAAATAAGCCGATGAACCAACCCTTCGCATAGCAGTAAACATTACAGCTTAAACTTCAGTCATCAGTGATTTACAGAAACAAGAGAGAGAGAGTGTTAGGTTAAAAAACCACAGGAACAAGACTGCTTTGTTTGAAGAATGTCTCCCCAGATGGGTCTAACAATGTTCTGAATTAAAAGAATGAACACACATACAAACTGTATCAGCCTCTAGGAAAAAACCCACAAAATGAGCAACACACACTTGGTCAAGGACCTGAACTTGCTGACTTGTTATGACTTATAAACAGTCCTTTAGAATCATTTTTGACTTTGGTTAGTTTTGGATGACAGGCTGGCCTCGAAGTTACAAAACCATTCTGCTCTGTTGAAGACACTGAATCCTTATCAGCTACCTGGTATTAACCCATGATCTGTGTCTGGATTCATTATCTGAGTGTGCAGGCCTTTTCATTTCCTCCTAGTATTAACAAGCACACTCGTTATCTCCATTCTAACTGCATTGTGATTAAATGAAAATGGCCACTTCAGTGATTGGCTGTGGAGATGGTATGTTCTCATCAACTCCTAATGATGAGGAGTTTTGGACCAGTATACAACTGATTTTCCAACAATTTTCAGGATTTATATACTTAATTTAGAGTTTTGCCTGTTGAAAAGTCAGTTTCAGAACAGGACACCATAGTGGACACCTACTTAGTGATATTGTGTATCGTGAGACTTGCTCATGGTGGTACTGTTGGGCCTCTGTAAATAATGTTATAAAGAGTTCGGTCTAGACCTGCTCTATTTGAAAAGTGTCCTGAGATAACTTCTGTTATGAATTGGCGCTATACAAATAAAATTGAATTGAATTGAATTGAATTGAATTGAGAGTAACTTTCACTTCAAAATAGAGCTCATATCCCCACTATAGTGACTGTTGAGCATATATTTGGTAAATATATATATGTTAGTATATTATATATGTGTTTCCACATGTTCTTATTACATTCAAGTTATGTGGTTATATTGTGTTTGTTGCTGCTAGCACCTTTAATCTCATGTCATATTACATTGAATTTAATACAATACTGATATGAGGGGGTCAGTTGTATATAACGGGTGGTCATCAGCATAAAGGGATAGTTTGTGTTCACAATTTGCTTTCAGCAATGGAGGGGTTGGAACTCATGGCAACGGCTAATGGCGAGAAGGCGAGAGCAAAGAGCAAGCTTGGACATCATGGCTGACTAACTCGATTAGGAGGAAGTTAGAGAGAACATCATTTGTTAGGATAGATGTCAGTAACATCTTTAAAAAGGCTTTAAAATACTCTATTGGGAAGCCATTTGGTCCAGGTGCTTTATCATTCTGTTGAGAATTAATGTTTTGGAGCTCTTCCTTTGCTGATAAGTTACAACCAGTGTTAATCACAGTGAAGACAGGTGACCCAAAGAGAGCTGGAGCTTGTTTCGTGATACAGGTCCCCGGCTGATATCAATGCGAGCAAGACCCCATCCAGCTGTGGTCTCACCAATCTAATTTCATTCTCATATCAATGCATTCTGCAGGCATTTACACATGTATTAACATAAAATGCAGATACAGATCAGATATTAATACATGTGGAAATAGGGTCCCTGTGAAGGGGGAGAGATAATAAAAGATCCCCCTGCAAAATATTTTTTAACAAGCCTTGATCACCACTTAAATTCTGTTAAATTCAAGAGTCTCTTAAAGAATGCTGACACTGAATCAGTTTTTGTCTGCTGGTTGCATACGTCGACAGAGGAGGGAGAGATAGAATGGCAGGCTGCTACCTTCAAGCCAATGCGGAGATTACCCTTAGGTCACTGAACTCCTGTTTAAACTTTTTGTGTTCATTTTCTCTCTGTCATTTGTAAGTCTGTGTGTCTTTACAAAGTGCTCTGACATGAAGCACAGGACAGATCCACAATCTGTTTAATAATTTATATGTTCATTGTTATTAAATATGAAACTACTTCACCATGTTGTTTCCATTTCTGCCACTGCAGCGAGATGACAGATCTCCAGCCAGTGGACCTCCATCCTTCTCCAGCCCGGTGTTTGGACTGAAGCCCCGATCAGGTGTGTTAAGAGGGTGGGTCAGACACGTGGGCTTCCAGATCCCCAGCTTTATTCACGGCCTTTTTTTTAACAGTGTGATTGTGAAAACAGTTTCTACTCATCTACGTGATCATACTGATGTGGTGTACATCAAATATGGTTGCTCAGAAAAATACAGTCTGTTGCAGTTTTTCCAAAGAATTTGCACTGTCAGTAGCTCTGGCCGAATTGAAACCACCACTCATAGCAGCATGTTATCGCAATGACCTGACTAATGTCGGGGAGTTTTAAAAATGTATATAGACAAGATGTCTCCTCCTTCACTGTAAAGTCCATTCTCAGTGGATGTGCACTGGTGGCTTCAAGTTTCTACATCACGCTTGTATTTATGTATGTATTATAGATGTGATATAATACACAAACAGATTTTCTATGACCACAGAGAAACTTTCCACTTTCAGCAGATGAATGTGAAAACATCCTTCTAGTGTCAAACTCTGCACAGACAGCATTCAGACAGCACACTGTGGGAACAACAACAAACACTGATTTCTGACTCAAGGGGGACTTATATCATGAATATTTAATGTTACTGTTACTTTGCCACTAGGAATAAGTGACTATAATAGTGTATTTGCATTTTCAACAGAGTTCCTGTAACAGCTTTTATGAATGTGTACCTGAAAAGTGTTTCCGTGTAATGGCGATCCAGGACTGTGATATGAACATATCCTTTCTGGATCAGGACTGTTCTTTATTAAATTCGGAATGAGCCCAAACTGAAGCAGCAGCGGCGTTGAATGCAGCTTCATGGTCACTGCTTATCTGCTGTTTGTAGAATTGTGGCAAACTTAGTCCCATACTTTTATAGAGTAAGCAGCCATCCAGCCTTTGTTTGCTAACTCCTAATGAAGCTAACATGATGCTAACAGCATGTCCAGGTGATCTGTATTGTGAAATGCCACTAATCTTGATTTTTGTTTTTGTGCTGTTTTGTGTTATGTGTTGTCATCTCTCGGTTTTCCCCCTTTTCACATTTTCCCTTTTCTGATTTATCTGTTTGTTTGTTTGTTTTGATTCCTTTCATTTCTCCTCTCGCTGATCTGCTGCATGACTTTTGATGTTAAAATCATGAACTCATCTGATCTTACCTGCCTGCATTTGTGTCTCTTGTATCAATAACTGCCTCCCATTGATTGCCTGTCTTTATTCCCTGCCAACCAATCTTTCCGGAACTTTTCCTGGTGACATTGGTGTTTTCGGGGGGGGGTGTTTATCGTGGAATGAACTTTCTGTACTTTGATTCACCATGGTTCCCCACCTTCCTGCACTACACACACCACGCCCACTTCTCTGACCACTCCCACCTCCTGGTTGTAGCCCCGCCCTCACTGCCCTGCTCGCCCCCTCCTTCCTGTCTTGACCCCTCCCTCCTCTCACAGGCCTCATTCCTCCATAGAGATACACCTCGTAGCCATGACGTCGGAGGCATGCACAGCCGTGGTAGGTCCCGCCTCTTTCAACTAACCAGGCTCAGAGGATTACACTCACACACCTAGACTTTTTCTTTCTGTTTTCCGCACAGAGGGATTCACAAATGTATTTTTGTGATTTATATATAAATGACTCTCTCCACCAAAATATAACTCAACTAAACAACAATAATTTGTGAATCCTTAATTTTCGAATATTCGGACCCATCTGATTCTCTATTCCACCAAGGGTTTGTTTTATCTGCAAAGCAAAAGAAAGATTGGTGTTTTTTACTTGAGTTAGAGCTCCAATCAAGAAACTCACCAGAAGCATTCAAATTATCCACTGCTCAATGACTTTTCTCTTTAAAATAGTAGTAGTACATGAGACATAATCAGTGAAAAAATCTGGTTCCCCTGACTCCTCTTAGTGCTCCTAATGGCATTTACAAGAATCCATCGGGCCTGAACAAAAACAACCATTTGTACATTTGACGTACATTGATTTTTTTATTTGGCCCATGTTAACATGAGAGGGGGCAGAGTTTATGACCTATACTGCAGTCAGCCACCAGGGGGCAATTGAGATGGGGAGCTTTCAGGTCGTCCATCTTTATATATGTCAATGGTTGACACATGTACATCATGCTGATGAACTAGCATCAACTTGGTAACAAGTTTGCTAAATATGAAATGCCAAATTTCAGCATGTAACATTATGATGCTGAAGTTAGTGTGAGTCTAAGACAAATCATGCAACAATCATAAGCAGACACAATGTTTTGAGATGTCTTTAATTGCCTTTTCATTTAGGTCATGGCACAGTGGCATCCTCAGGACAAACTTTTTTTACATTTTGTAAACTAGGGCTGCAACTAACAACTAATTTGATAATCGATTAATCTGTCGATTATTACTTCAATTAATCGATTATTAATCGGATAAAAAGACAAAAACTAAATTTCTATACTTTCCAGTATTTTATTCAAAAAACAGCGTACTGGTCTTCTTGTTCCATGTTCTTTCAAACAAATAAAACAAAGCAAATGTTACAAAAATTGTTTTTTTATAAATTTTTTTTTACATTTTTCCTCAACACAAAAACCTTTTAAAGTCTTCCATTTAAAAAGGAGCCAAATGAATTGAACAAACAAACATAAAATAAATAATAATAAAATGTATAAAGTTCACTTCAGTTTGTAGCTGAACGGTTTCTGATTCAGATTTCTGAACTGTTCTTCAGCTAAATCACCTCCCTTTTCTAAACTGAAGACTTGAACAGGTTTTTGTTTTAAGAACAAATGGAAAGGCCTGCTATGTGAAATTTGTCAAAACATATATAAATTGTGTTTTTGTTGATAACTGTTAAAAACCGTTCAGCTACTAACTGAAGTGCACTTTATACATTTTGTTATTATTATTATTCATTTTATGTTTGTTTGTTAAATTCATTCACCAAAAATAAAACGGAAATGTAACTAATCAGATCAGAACTGGATCAGATATTGTTCAAGTTTCTGTTGTGAAGTAATAAAGGATTCATTTTAGACTGCCTCTGAATAATAGCAAGATATATTCCAGCAACTCCATAACGTTAGTTATACTAAAGTGTCTCTCCAACCTAAATAGATTTAAATAGCTTTATTGGTGGCCCGGCTACATTGATCCATTATGAAACGGACTGGATATATTTCTGTCTGTTACGTTTATTTTGAAATTGGTAACCTTGCGTTTTCTCCATCAAAACAGAGTCAAATCTGCTGGAGACCAACACATTATCAGCCCCGAGTTGCAACAAAGGGATACTCAAACAAAAGAGCTGGCGTGCTGAACTCGTGCATGCCTATTGCGACCCAAAACAACACAACAAATGAAGTCGTCGCACTCTTTCAAAGGTTTACTCCAGGCAAGGTAGATGGCGTCGTCATGTTAGCTGCACACGGCATGGCATTGGCTGGCTTGGTGCCACCACCAGAGACGTTGCCGCAGCGCATGCGGTGCATCCAGCGCATGCGCATAAGGTAGTTCCAACGAATCGATGACTAAATTAATCGTCAACAATTTTTATAATCGATTTAATCGATTAGTTGTTGCAGCCCTATTGTAAACATCGACAGGATAGTAAAGTTGTTCCTCAATTTCTCATCCCTCAAACAATTGTAATAGCAGGTGTATAATGAACACTGCTAGTGTGGTTGTAAATGTTAGTTATTTACCTTTTCGCTCCCCAATGTTATCTGGCACACACCCCAGTGCGTTGCAAGCTTTCCGACACTAGTTAATTTTATGAGTGAGCAAAGGTCTGTCTTTGCTCCAACTGCCATGGTCTTGCTGTTTGCTGTTGCAGCGATAACACATTTCTTTCCCTTTCATTCTCCCTCTGAAACGCTGTGTGTTTCGACATGAGCGGTTATGTATGAGTGTGATAACATTATGATTAATGGTCCATAATGGGTTCTAGCCTCAGGGAGAGTGACATCACCAGGAACTGACACGCTCACATCATCACTGCTACTGACCTAATTAACAACCTATCACCACCCTGTGTGAGTGTGTGTTGTGTGTGTGTGTGTGTGTGTGTGTGTGTGTGTGTGTGTGTGTGTGTGTGTGTGTGTGTGTGTGTGTGTGTGTGTGTGTGTGTGTGTGTGTGTGTGTGTGTGTGTGTGTGTGTGTGTGTGTTGTGACGTACATATGTGTGTAGTATCAGGAACACCATCAGTGTTTTTAAGCTTGTGGTCACTCGCCATTATTTGTGCGTACCTGGTGTGTGTGTGTGTGTGTGTGTGTGTTCAGCCTCTCAGCCCAGTAAACAGGCTCCATCTGACATTTATTTATCATTATACAACACAATATTGTACAACAAAATAAACATGCTACACATAGACAAAGATTATTACATTTATATAACAATAACATAAAATAAATTAAAATAAATAAATAAAACAATATATAGAGTTATTTATAGACATATATACATACACGTTTACAGCCAGGAAATAATTCTGTAGGTCATATTTTGAATTTGCGTCTGAAATGTATGAAATGTTTCATCTTCACATAAAAGAAACTGCACCCATCCACTTGATGAGTATGTTGATGGAGCAGGTCTCTTGAAGATGTGGGCACAACAGTCTCTGATTTCCTGTTGTTTGGTCAGCCTGAGTTCCATTTCGTCAAAAACCAGACATTAGCCAGGAGCAGCCTTAAGTCCAAGCTGGACCAGCATGCCAGCAGCCAATCCTGCTCTCTTCCTCTCCTCCTGGGGTAAAAGCACCCACTGTGGTGGACTGGTTCCATCCAGTTGATCTGGCTCGGTGGGTAGCCCACGCTTCTTTTTCTGATGACTGTAGACCATTTCTGTCACAGGTGATACATGTTTCAGAAAAAAAGCCAAAAACAGATAAGGAGTTGGAACAATTTTGGTTTAGCCTTTAAAAATCAAACCCAATCAGACATCATTCAATGATGTAAAAATAAAGCTGAAAAATACCCAGATCAAAACAGAAATATAGCAAGTTCAAAGGAGCTACTGGCCGCTGCATATATATGTGTTATCCCTCAAACTAAAGAGGGGAGAAATAATCATATTAGATGTGTGTCTCTTGCGCGAGCTTTACTCGAATGAGAAAAGACCGCGAATTCTCCAGGTATGTGGGCGGAGACTAAAGCAATCGATCTCAGAGTGCAGGACTGAGACCAGACTGACACCAGTCTGTAGATCACAGGTTAAGATTGGAAATACTTTAAATATTAGAATTTTAACACGTTAGAATTAAATAACAATGAAAAATAAACACTTAATAAATTTAATAAACATTCAGCTTTCCTTTACCCCACAACAGTCTAAAGCGTATCAATTCCCAACTTGTCACACTCTCCCCTACAAAATAAATATTGTCTCTACATTAAATCAATCAAACAATGAGAACTTGACACTGGAAATCCTCTTCTGTGAGATAATACGTAGGTCACAGTTCAAATTCGTCAGGTCATTCTAATACGTCAACAATCCATATTCACAGTCCCAATCTGTTGACTGGCTGCTGTATAAACAGTCCATAAAGTGCACATATTAATCAACATTGCATCAGTTTCAATGATCTGTGCAGTCTGCAAACAGTCCATGAAAACCGTCCATGAAACAGTCCATAAGTAGTTCATGGTTCTAGTCCAGCATGTCACCTCTGTAAACTCAGGTTTGCTGGGGTCCATACATACAGGGTGGCTGAAAGTAGTATGGCTGCAAGGGTGGCCACCATGGTACCAGTCCTGGTGCAGGATAGAAAGGTAGCTGCGGCTGTGGCTGGATGCTATGACAGGACGGGATACCCAGCTGATCGTAGGTGATGCGTCGTGGCGGGTGTCTTTCTCTCTGTGGTAGCTGATAGGTCAGTTCCTCAGGTTCAGCAACACTTGATGCAGGAGAGGCATCTCGAGAATCAGACGGATTCTCACCAGGTAAGTTCATCTCCTCAGCCTCAGGCAGGTTTTCAAGTGTGATGAGCTCCTCCAACTGATCACCAATGAGAGGCTGTGCTGGGATGGCAACAGGGACTGCTACTACAGCTGGCTGTGTCACTGGTTCAGGCTCATGTCCAGACTGTCTCTCATTAGTTACTGCTGGCGGTGTGCAGACCAGAATTGGCTCATAATGGAAGTCATATTCATCTCCACTGTCTTCATCAAACTCTGCAGGCTGTGACACAGACTCATGCCGTCTTTTCTGTTTACTTTTGTCATTTTTAGTTACTTCTGGTTGTGTCCCAAAAGGTAAGTGGTGACAGGACATGAGCAGGTTTCTATGCAGGACCCTGGAACGTCCATTACCCTTTTCTGGTCTCACTTAATAAATTGGCAGATCAGATCCCAACTGTCTCACTACTGTGTGGACTGTGTTTTCCAAGTAGTCGCGGAGTTTACCTGGTCCTCCCCTTGGTGTCAGGTTTTTTATCAGGACCCACTCACCTGGCTGTAGCACTGAACTCCTTACTTTAGTATCATAATACCTTTTACTCCTTTCAGCAGCTTTCT